GACGAAGGTAGGTTTTTTAGTTTTTTTTTTTTTTTTTTTTGGTGATGAGGATTGCGCCGGCCAAATCACTATTGGTGCTGTCTGTATACATGCTCGGCCGAGACGGCGAGGACCGCTGGTTCCCCACCCGAACCACCTTGTAAGATGGAAGATACCTGCACCGACAATCTATGGCGTTTTGGTCACGGAATATTCAAGTGGTAATATTTTATCGAAGTCTTCCAAAGTTCAAAGTCGGTGTTCCTCTGGTAGTAATCTGTGGTTTTGTGAAGCGATCCTAGCAACATGGCAACAAAATATGAAGAGCGTCCGATCCCCAAGGTACGCAAACATGGTCATTTCAATTCAATTGCCATTGCCTGTCTAATAACTCCGACATAGATTTCCTTGTCAAATTTCGATCAACGAATCGATGAAATCACCCAGCAGCTATGCGCCGCCGCCGAAGATGTCGGCTTCTTCGCCATCGTAGACCACGGCATTCCGCAAGCTGACGTGGACACCATGTTTGCGACTTCCCAAGCCTTTTTTCAGCTGCCCGAGCCCGCCAAGTGTAGCGTGCCGTGGAGTCCCCAGAACGTCGGTTACGAGTACAAGTCCCAAGTGCGGCCATCCACGGGTGCCGCGGACCAAAAGGAGTCGTATCAGCTGCAGTTTGGCGAGAACATGGCCGACAAATGGATCAGCGACGAGAACTTGCCGGGATTCAAGGATACCTCACTGCAGTTTATGCACCAACTCCAGGCCGTCTCGAATCAACTTATGGTCTGCCTCGCTCGTGGCCTCGGATTTCCGGATGAGTATTTTGTCCAGGCGCATGACGTGCGACGTCCCAACTCACAGTCCACACTGCGTCTCTTGCACTACTTTGAGACACCCAAGGACGGCGAAACATACCACCGGGCAGGCGCACACGTGGACTGGGGCTTTCTGACACTGCTCTTCCAGCGCGAGGGCCAGTCGGGCTTAGAAATCTGCCCCGGCCGCGAAGTCGTGACCGAGTGGGCCTCTGGCGAGGCGTGGACCAAGGTCGCATTCGAGCCCGGCAGCATCATTTGCAACATCGGCGACCTGCTCATGAGCTGGTCCGACGACCGGTTCAAGAGCACGTTTCATCGCGTCAAGGCACCTGAGGAGCCTGGTGACAACTGGGGCGAGAGATACAGCATTGCCTTTTTTAACCAGCCGTGCAAGGACGCTCTTATTCAGGGCCCCAAGAAAAAGTACCCCATGGTCACGGGGGAGCAGTTCACGGCAAACGCAATGGGGACATACTACAAGGCATTGCAAACCAAGCTCAAGGAACAGCAAAATCAAGCTGTCAAAGTGTGAATGATGAAGCCGACACGCGCAAATTTACTTGAGCACACTGAGCAACGATAGGTGCCCAAAAAAATCTACGGGGCCTCTAGAGTCCAGTCGAGGCCACCTAACCAAACCTGCACCTCATCAGAACGAAGAGGCGAGTACTACAGGTAAAGATACATCACAATAGCCATCATACCGCGTTACTTGAACTCTAACAAGAAATTATCACGTCAATGAACAATTGTAACCTCGCCGGCTCAATGGATGTTTAGCCAAGCGATCCGATTAATGCATGCGGCAATATTAGCGAGCCCGACTCGCTATTGGTGGATTTATTTGTGATTCGCGCTTTTTAGCAATTAGTCTCGGTTCAATGTTTGATTCTCCTCTATTTATTCTGATTGACGATGGCGATTATTTTTTCATATAAAGTATTGATGGTTTGTGAAACGGACGGTTTTCGCGGTTGTTACCATGTATATAAGTGAGGTTGAACAACTCTTGCCTATACGATAATTTGTCGCATTGTTCTACAAGCACTAAATTATTTCATCTTATCCTTGACATAAACAACGGAATGAAAAGTTTGAACAATTAATTGAAGCCATGAAATCTATTTTCATATTTGCAGCAAGCATACTGCTTGACACCGCTGTTGCAAGTCCGGCCCGTACAACAAATGATGTGAAAAGGTACGCTATTGAAATGGGGAGGAATCACAAGCACGAGACCATGTTCTACGCCTTACTAATATATATATAGATCTATATCATCGCAGCTCGCATATTTCCCGGCTGCTTCTCCTGTCGGAACTGGTGTCATCATTTGTCCCGGCGGAGGATATTCGCACCTGTCTCTCGTCAAAGAGGGATCCACCCCGGCCGCTTGGCTAAATGACCTGGGCATCGATGCATGGGTTCTCACCTATACGACTACAGCGAACCAGTCTGCTCCTCTGTACCCTACACCGCTTGTGGAGGCACTTGATGCCGTTGAGTACGTCAAGAGCCAAGACGTGGTTACCAAGCTGGGCATTTGGGGCTTCTCGGCTGGGGGCCACCTCGCCGCCGTAACCGTCACGAATCCCGCGGCCGACCTGGACTTTGGCATACTGGCCTACCCCGTCATTAGCATGGGGGAATACGCGCACAAGGGCTCCCGCGACAACCTCATTGGCGCCAACGCCAGCGCCGAGCTCACGTTCAACACTTCGGCGCAGAACCTGGTCAGCTCCACGACGCCGCCCACGTTTCTTTTCCACACTGCAGATGATGCTACCGTCAATGTCCATAATTCTCTCCTCTATGCCGCTGCTATGGCCAACTATTCGAGGCCGTTCCAAACTCTTATTCTCCCGGATGGAAGCCACGGACTTGGACTAGCGCTGGATGATGCTCAGCGGAATTGGACGCCTGAGTTGGAACGATTTATCACGTACTCGATTTAGATTTTCATATGTTTTTATTTCTGTAGCACTTATTCTTCCCGTGATTAGTTGGCCATAGCAGAACTATCACGATGCGCGCTCATCTATGGGACTTGGCCAAATAGAGGTGGTTTTAGTCTTGGCCCAATGACCCATGTTCTTTGATCGCGGAATTGTCTCCCAAGATCCTTTTGATATGTCGTCAAAACTAGATATGTGCTATACCACTGAAAGTATCATCCGAACAATCTCGGATAAACCACCCAGTAGAGTCCTTGACTACCTGTCCCTCGGGCGTGGTAATCCACAACCGGCTCGAGCCATAATCTATGTCACAGTCACAAAAGCCGAGATCGGCGTTAGAGTTTACCCACATGTAGCGGACAGGCATGACTTGGCCGGCCGATAGTGTGATACTGACCGCTCCGCTCTTCCAACGGTCCCTCCAGGCGAAATAGTCGGCATTTTTATCACCCCACTTGTTGTAGGCAAGGTCGCCGTGCCAAAAGAAGACCTCGTCCCAGAACTCTTGCAGCGGGGTGCTAAAGGTATACGTGCCTGCTGTTCTCGCCAAAAAGTAGCCTGCCGCGTTGATGCCTCTCCATCGCGCCGTCATGTTCCTCCCGTCGAGGAACATGGTCTGGGACTGGATATCAATGTCGAAATTGAGATTTTGTATGGTGCCAGAGTCAAGAATCTTGTGAGACCTTAGATCATCTGCTGCGGCAATATCTTCACCTCCCGTGTGAATTCGATGATCAAAAACGCCAAATCTGAGGCCCTCTGGCGATAGTTTAGTCGGTTGAGCCGCCAAGCCGCGTGTCAATGTCGTTGTAGAAGTCACTGTCTGGAATACGGTCGATTGTACGACCCTTTGGGCAATCCAGGTGCCACTTTTTTGCTAGAGTCAGATGAACTGTGTCGTATCATGAACTCGGGGGAACATACATTGTGGTAAGCGGCCTGAAGGTAGCGGTTGATAGGTGACCTACGATGCCTGATTGCACAACGATCTTGGTTATTGTTGGACTTGGGATGGCCAGACAGGAACACGCAAGAGAAACTGCTGGGTCAGGCCAATCGATGGGAATGTTGGACGGCCGCAGAAACCCGATTTCGGCGCGGTATGATGACGTGTCTCTTTTCGTTGGAACTTGGTGTGAGCTGTAAGTCATAAGCTTAGTGAGGTCACATTAACCGACAGTCCACAAATCGTGGCTGGCTTCTTGGGCAGATCCACGGTTGGTGAAATCATTCAAGGAAAACCTACTAGCAGCCTTGTAAAACCGTAGCCCCAGCTGACGCTGATATGATTCTCGACACAACCTGTTCAAGAGTTGGTCTCGCTGCTCCGGTGAAGATATAAGTAGTAGCCTACTTACACTGGTTGTCCGTAATGTCAAATCATCTGCCGTAACTGTAACAGTGATTGTAGCAAAAACCATTATCGGATTATCTGTGACGGTGACAATGCTGTTCTTGGTTCTATTTGAAAGTCAGTACGATTGTTAATCTGTGAATATCTGCGATATCTGACATGGTTGTCGTGCCAATTGACAAATAGCCGATGCAGAATGGGGTAGCTGCTGCTTCCTGCCTCAAATTTATCAGACGAGCGTGGTGTGCCGCACAAAATCGAGTATTCACTGCCTCGGCCTGGGCTGCAAAGGCCAGGACTGCAAACAGAATTTGGGTCAACATGATCACAAATGAGGTCGTTCGTGACTTCAATCCATGTTGCCTACTCCTTAGAAGCAGCCAACCTCATATTACATCGCGAATTCAAGTATCCTCATGACAATGGTGGTGTATACGATGCTTTCGTGTTGTTATCTAAGTGCGGGTCATCACCTTGTTCAGCCGCAGTAGAATTGAACCTTCGCGGCTTGGAAGACTCCCGGCAACTAAGCCACGAGTGAATGAAATGAAATACACGGGATACAATTGTCTCCCGAAATACGAAACCAGCCACAGCAATGCGCAAAATCGAAAGCGAAAATTGTTGCATAATCCAGACCAGACTCGCGAATAAACAATTTTCAGGGTACCAGTTTGTTCATGTTCAAGACTAATAAGATTGTGTTCAAAGTCAGATTAGTAGGTCCAAACACCAAATGTGCGCAAGTCTGTTTTTCGTTGGCGCATTTTCAGGTTGAAATCAATATATAAATGCCTAAGTACCTAACAGCCTAGTCGTATACTGATTCTACCAGTAATTGGCTATCGATAACTACGACCCCGCGACAGTCGCGAGATCGATTCCGTCCGCGGGACTCGGGCCCCCGTTGGTTGCAGAGAACATACGGCAGTTGTCGTTGTTGTCTTCTTCTATGTAGATGATGCCAACGCAATCAGAGGTCAAAGAACATACATCGACGCAATTCCGGAAGTTCGGAGCGAAAAGTGCCCCCGACGGGTTATAACCGATTATAGAGTTGCATTGTATGTTGAATGTCTCACCGCTGGCGGCCTCGTACGTTGGGGCAAGATCCTGACAGCTTGTTGCAACGACCTTTTGTTCAGTGCCAAGTCAGCTTATTTTCGCCCATACCACTCAAGCTTATAAGGGGGATACAAAGTATTTTAGAGAATTGAGGGGCTGCGTATGTAACGAGTTTATATGACATTACGAAAGTCTGAATATCTTGACTTACCGTGGCTATCGCTGTTGTAGTAGTCGTTGTAACTGTACTGGCGGTGATCGTGCTCGTCGTCTCCGTTGTTGTCGACACCGTCAAAGTCGTGGTTGTTGTTGTAACAGAAGTTGAAATGGTACGGATGGTGCTCGTCACAATGTTTGTGACTGTGCCAGAAGTGACCACGGTCGTGTCGGCCGTTATGGTCGTCGTGGACGTCGAAGTTGCTGTGGACGTGGACGTGGAAGTCGCTGTGGCTTGGTAACAGGAACCTGTGGTCAATAATGTTAATCAATGGCACTTCAGGCTTTGAATTTCAAATCAACTGTTGAATATTTGATAATCCTCTGCTAGTGATGATATCATAAAGCATCTTAATCTGTGATAGTAGTCTAGCTACCAGTATAGAGCTTCACTTCTAGTCTGCTAGCGCAGTGGCTAGATGCGATAGATGGATACAGATCACTTACAGTATTTACTCGCAGTTTCGGCTGGTGCGGACAATAGGACCTGATAAAGCTCAGCTTCGGGATCTTGGGAGTAGTCATTATTGGTCGGACGAGTCGCGATATATCGGGTTGGAGTGCTGTATCCGTCAGGGACCGCGATATCTGGGAGATTATTCTCTGATGCCCATTCGTTCGATGGATGTTCTGGTAAGCTGTAGAATGGCTTGTGGGGACTACTATGTGGCGCCTCGTTTAGGCCCCAACTCCGACTACCTGATGGTGGAACGCCAGAGTCGCCCTTGCCTGTGAAAGTGGGTAAAGGATCGTAATGCGATTGGTGAAAAGGTGGTTCATGCCCGAAAGTATGAAAAGACGACTTGATGGGCGTGGGTGTCTGTTTCTTGGGGCATCCCGCAGATCGCTTCTTTGGAATGTCCGTGATAGTTGATACTACAAAGATTGTGGTAATTGTTGTAGAAACGGAGGTTGAGGTAGATGTAGTTGTAGTCAAAGTAGTACTTGTGGCCGTGCTTATTGTAACCGACGTACTAGTCGAGGTAGATGTCGTCGTCGAAGTTGTGGTAGTCGAAGTGGTTGAAGTGGTGGTAGCAACGGCATCAGAGACCGACGTCTCAGTGACAATTGTAGTTATAAGAACAAGAGCTGTTTCAGTTTCAGTTTTAGTTTCAGTTTTAGGTTTATGATATAGATTGGAACAAAATTCTTGCGCCCAAGGATCTTGAGCGAGAGGAGAAAGCCGGAGATAAAGTCCTGTTTGGCATGTGTCATCGTCAGAGTCGAGCGCAAGCGCAGCACGACAAAACAATGCCGAGGCGCTGATGATTCTAATGAGCGTGGAGCATCTCATTTTGAAACGCGATGAGAGGATGAAGTAACGCACCGCCATAGAAAGCAGGGCCAAGACAAGACTGCATTAGTCCTCAAGCACCCATGTTATAAGTGTGCATGCCAGTCTCTAGACTTGACAAATTTCTTAAGCCGGACGCCAAGAGGCTCTACAATATCTGCCGCTCAATAATACTGGGTGTCAATCTTCGTGCCTCTCGTTCCGTTGCATTTACACTAGAGCAATCTCCGAGTAAGCCTTGATGATTCCGCTATATATCGACACTGAAATCATTGCTGCCGCTCCAAAACGAATCATTGTCGACTAAGCTAGGTTATATAATTTGAAAACCAATAGTGGCATTGAGAAAACTACGTTTGTTGATGTTCGCTGGCATACCGGGGCTCGCGGTTCAATAATTGACTTTCACGGCTAGTGGACGGGCCGGCTGCTCTGAATAAAGGTTCGGCCTCAAAGGCGACATGGCGGCACACACATTTGTACATTTGTCGGGCGGCAAATGAAGGATACCTCTAACAACGCTCTTATCCTCTACATCAGTGTTCGGCAGGTCTGCAGTCGCTATCACCTGGTTAGTGTAGTATGTTGTTTTTGAGAACACAATGTGGCCTATGTATCGGCACCGCTTGAAGGCTTTGAGGATGATTACTTAGTCATCGGAACCGTCCTCATTGGCTGGTATAGAGCATGAAATACACTTTTCAAGCATCGATGCTGTTGTTGTACAGATCAAGTTGCATAAAAATTCCAGTAAGATGACAATTGCACAATATCACGTTTGGCGAAACGGTAGAAGTATTTAATGGAAAAGTGAGGAATCATCTTCCGGCAAGTAGTGCTGCATTACTAGAGTTTTAATGATTAAGATTATGCGGGCAAATCCCATGTCACGCCGTGGTGGGCGTATTGCTGCAAGTACTTCCAGACCGACTGCACCCCTCGGGACAACTATAGCTGGGGTCATACTGCCACAAGAAATAAGGATCCGTCTCATTCGTTAGTACCTCGCCAATGAGCCTGGTCGTAGTACCCATGTCAAACGATTGGCGAAAGACTTCCATTGACCCGATGCGAATCTGGCCCCAACCCTTTTCAATCAAGGTGTCGATACTCGTTCCATATATGTATTCAGCAAAGCCAGACCACTGGATTGCAGATGCACACATTGGGCAGCTCTCGGCATTCGTGTACAACGACAGCTGGGAGAAGGCATCAAGGGCTTCTGCTGCCGTCATATTGTACGGGCCAGACGGGTCGGTAAAGATTTCGCTGCAGTTTTGGATAGCGGCCATCTCACCTAATATGCTTTGTAAGTACCAATGGACAGGGGAAAAAGAAGGCATGTAGAGACTTACCGTGTAGTGTCGGGTTACCAGTGACCTTGTTGGTATTGGCACCAATGCACACCAAATCCCCGAGTCCGTCGACCGTGTGGTTCACGATAACGGTGCCAAACGCAGCGAATGGGCACGCATCACCGAGCACATCAAACAAGGCCTGATTGGCCTTGCGCATCCAATACGCCCGGGTACTGTATGGGATGCCGTTGATGGAGAGTCCCGGCTGGCTCATCGGAGCCTGTTCCGACCGGCGGCCAATGCCACCATGGTGCTGATGCGTCCAAGCCAACGGCAGGGTGGCCGCGAGAACGAATAGAGATTGTAAATGCATTGCAGGTGACTTGTGTTGTGGATGGTTCAATGCAGGAAGGGGGCTGCAGAAGGTGCAGGACTCGCAATGCAGCCGTGCACTGTGTAGTATATCATTCCGACATGCATCATTTCACTTTGTTTGGTTCTTATCTGGCCTCGGCCGAGGTGTTTACCGCTATCCCCACCACCACTAGTCATTCGGGGAGCTCCGACTTGTGCTCCAAGACAACGACGATATGATATGCAAGTAATTGAGTATGGATTCAATTAATTATCCAACGTCCGGCTTTATAATACTGCTGACCGATCGTCCATGGAGTTGGTTACAATCCAGTCGAGCTGAATTCGCTAGTTACGTCCACTATAGTCCGCATAATCTTTAGTCACTATGGGTTCCATAATTGAAAACACTCCCACTCTTCTCCAAGTTTCACCACTGCCACAAGAAGATGGAAAAAAGACAAACTTTGGAGCAGTTGTGGATGGCTTGGATTTGAACAATATTAGCGGTACGTGCTTCGAAGAAAAAGTATGTTCCAGATCAGTGGGATTGGTTTGGCTGATTGTATCGTCCAGACCGTGATGTTCAAGCTCTGAAGGAGACTATTTGGAAGCATAAAGTGATCATTGTCAGAGGCCAGAAAAGTTTACAGCCTGTGAAACAATGGGAGCTGGTTACGCGTTTTGATCCCGACGCTCCGCAGGTCCACTCCCATGGCGACGTGAAAAGCTTCAACAAGTTTGGTGGCCTGCTTTCGGTGCGTGATTCCGCAAAAGTTTCATCCTATGTATAAGCACTTACCAATGTCTAGAAAAGCCGCGACGTCCTAGGCATCCCAGGCGCTGAGAACGTCCGGCTGATCGGCAAAGGATACCAAGGAGCCGACCACTACGGGATCAAGGACAAGACGGTCAAGAAGCCTCTGAGCCATGACTGGCATGCCACAAAGCTGTCGCAAGACGAATTCGACAGTGGCCATACCCGTTTCCAACGATGGCACATTGACGCGCCATTGTACGAGCGCGACCCGGCGTGGTTCACCACTTTGCGCTGCATCAAGCGCCCGACCGAACCTAAGGTTACCGTCCATTGGGATGACGGGTCGGGCCAGACCATGGAAGTTGAGCCCGGCCTGACGGCCTTTTTCAGCAACGTCCAGACGTACGAGCTCATGACCCCAGAGGAGCAAAAGGTGGCCGACCACAGCTGGGTCGAGTACGCACCGAGGCCGTACACCTGGATGGGCGAATGCCGAGGCAACCCCAACGGCCTGGGCGTCGCCTCCGAGGGACGCGAGAAGAGTCTCGAAGAGCTCGGAGACTGGGACCCTGCTCACGTCAAGCGCTATCCCATGGTCTGGGTGAACCCCGTCACTGGTGAGAAAGCTTTCATGGTGCATGGCATCTGCGCAAGACGGGTTTTCCTGCGTTCGTCGCCCGATGAGGAACCGAGAATGGTCGACGACGTGGCCGAGATTAGGCGCTGGTTAAAGCCCATTCAGGAGCGAGTGCTGAAGCCCGAGTATATCATGCTACCGAGTGTTCAGGAGGGAGACATTGTAATGTGGGCCAATTGGCAGTGTTTCCACACTGCTGTAGATTACCCTGACGCGTATGGACCGAGGACGATGCATCAGGCAAATATCGGTGCATCATCTGCGCCTGTAGGACCAGTTCCCATTCCCGTGCTGGCTTGAGCGTTTTTAACATTCCTCTGTGGGTATAATTGATGTCTTTGATAATTTGCATTTTGACTTCAACTCATATTCCAAATTATTCAAGTTTGTTGATGTGAATGCGAATGATACGACGGGGAAGAGTCAGTGGTAAAGGCCTAGACTTGAGAAGTCCACGGGTAGTCGCGCGTTTGCCCCGCTAATGGCGTGCGCCGCCTGCGTGTGCCCCTCATCTGCCGTCAGATAGTACCAGGTTACAGGCCTTTCAGCCTCTTGAATGGCCTAAGCATGGCATGACATTGTCAGTCAGTTTGTCCAGCATAAAGATCGTGCCGCAAATCAGCAGCCGCGTTCAGTAAAGACACCATTTGGTACCCAGCCTGGATTGAATCGACTTGCAAATCGTGCATCTTGCATTGCATCAAGTCGAATAGTACATTTGTAACCTCCAAATGGCAGGCGACACATATTATGACCTTGGCCATTACCGTCGGCCAGTCACGACGGTTGACGAGGAAGCCCGGCTTTGGTTCGATCGCGGACTGCTATGGAGCTATGGGTTCAATCATGAGGAAGCCGTCAAGTGCTTTGAAAAGGCCATTGCCCGCGACGGCAACTTTGCCATGGCCTATTGGGGAGCTGCGTACGCATTGGGGCCCAACTACAACAAGCCCTGGGACTTTTTTGACGCAACCGAGCTCGAGACTACCGTGCAGAGAACTCACAGAATGGTGGAAGAAGCGACGAAGTTAGCTGGCACTGTATCGCCGGTAGAGAAGGCCTTGATTGACGCGCTACACTTTCGGTATCCTCGAGAGCATGCTGATGGAGACTTCCCCATCTGGAACAAATATTACGCCGAGGCAATGGAAAAGGTTTATCAAGAGTTCCCCAATGACCTCGACGTAGCCACTCTGTGTGCAGATGCTCTGATGAATCTGACTCCTTGGCAACTATGGGATCTCCAGACGGGCAAGCCAGCTGATGGAGCTCGTACTCTTGATATCAAGAATATATTGGATCATGCGATGGCGTTGGACCGTGGCATGCAACACCCAGGATTGCTCCACCTCTACATACATCTGATGGAAATGTCTCCCACACCTGAAGCTGCGAAACCAGCTGCCGACTCTCTGCGCACTTTGGTTCCAGACGGTGGTCACCTCAATCATATGCCCACACACATCGACCTCTTACTTGGCGACTATGACTTGGGGATCCAGTCAAATCAGAGGGCCTTTGAAGCAGACGAAAAGTTTCTAGCTCGCGAAGGACCGCTCAACTTCTACACGCTCTACCGGATGCACGACTACCATTTTTGTATATATTCCGCAATGTTTGCCGGTCGGTCCAAGGTCGCGCTCGAAACAGTCACGCGGATGGAGAGCTCCTTGTCCGACGAATTACTGCGCGTCGAGTCGCCGCCCATGGCAGATTGGCTCGAGGGCTTCCTGGCCATGAGAGTCCATGCTCTTGTGCGCTTCGGCCGCTGGGAGGATATTGTAGGCTTGGCTTTGCCTAAGGATCCCAAACTCTATTGCACCACGACGGCAATGATGCACTATGCCAAGGCCATTGCATTTGCTGCCTTGGGCGATATAAAGAATGCCGAAAAAGAGCGAGAAAATTTCTTCGTCTCTCAAAAAGCTGTTCCCGAGTCTCGCATGCTATTCAACAACAAATGCGTCGATATCCTCAAAGTGGCAGAGGCCATGATGGAGGGAGAAATCGAGTACCGTCGAAAGAATTACGAGGCAGCATTTGCAAACCTCAAGGAAGCCATTGCACGAGATGACGGACTGCCCTATGATGAGCCTTGGGGCTGGATGCAACCTACTCGTCACGCGTATGGCGCACTCTTGATGGAGCAGGGTCACTACGAACAGGCTGCCGGCGTATATGCCGAGGATCTGGGGCTTGACAATAAACTTCCGCGCGCCCTTCGCCATCCCAATAATGTGTGGGCACTGCACGGATATCACGAGTGTATGGTAAAACTGGGGAGAAGGGAGCAAGCCCAGAGTATTGCATCGAAACTGGAAAGCGCGCTCAAGAAGGCAGACGTACCCATCAAGGCATCTTGCTACTGTCGCCTAAGCGCAGTCCAATAATCTGCCTGAATAGGATAGACCATAATAGACTGTCGATCGAATGACATGACAGATATATGTGCTACGGGACGTCCATCATTTCACCGCCAACGACCAAACGAAACAGTGAAGATTGCTATAGTCAACTTCGAGGTTACTCTGAGAGCGTGTAGAAACATTGAGGTGCATCTCAGGTTGCACTCTACTTGCCTAATTCGGCAAATAGCTGACGACGACAGAAGCTCTAGAATGAATCGGAGGACAGCTCACAAGGGGTCAAAGCACCGATATACTCGAGTATAAAATGGTTGCGTGCTGCCAAAAACCCCACAATTGACTTCTTTGGGTTTTGCCCGTTGCGCCTACAGTAGACTCGAGTTTTGTCTCGCTTCCGAAACATGGCTTGCCAGCATGATGACGCATCTCGCTCGTACGCCTCCATGATGATATCAAAGTAGTGAAAATGGAATCGCTTTTTTAAATTGGAATTTGATCAATAAATGACTATGACAATGAAACGCCCATTTCCTTGGCCACAGTCTCAAATTTGGACTGGTCATAGGGAGAGGCCTCATCGGGCAGCACAACGCCCGAGGCCGAAGCTCCAGCAGTGTGGATGAGGTGCTCGATACCGGGGCCGTTGGTAAACGAGTACGCCCTCACAAACCTGCTGCCGAAATCAATCTTGAAAGACTGGCCGGCGGCAATGACAACCGTCTGACCCTCGCGGACCTCGCTCCAGGCACCGCTGCCCTCGCCCTTGATCTGGATGCGCAGCAGACCCTCCTGCACGCAGAAGCAGTGGTCAACAGTGGGGAACGCGACCCAGTGCTGCGCAAAGGCCGAGGGGCCGTACACCTTGGAGGACTCGAGCGAGGTGATGGCAAACTTGCCGCTGCACTGGCTGGCGTTGATGAGGGGCCGCGACATGACGCCGCCGAGGAGCCAGCGGGGACCCGTGTTGGCGCGCAAAAAGTAGGGCTCGAGGGGCCCGCCCAGGACGTTCTCCGAGGCCTGCCACTCGGCCACCTCGGGCGGCTGGTAGCTGCGCTCAAACTGCACGTCGAACCGGTCCTTGGCCTGCATCAGCTTGGGGATCAGCAGGCTCTTGAGGTCCCGGTCGTCCGTCTCGGGAATGATGAGGCCCTTGTACTCCTCGCCGACGTAGCGGAAGAAGTCGATCCAGTCGCCTGGTGCCACCAAGCCCAAGGTCTCTGTGTGCGGGCCCAGCAGCTCTGGGTTGTGGATTACCGTCTGTGACAGTGATTAGCATGCGGGACATTCGGAGAGGATCGCGACATGAAACTTACCGGTGGCACATAGGCAAAATCGCCAGGGCCCATTATCCTGCACTTGTCTCCGTTCCAGAGCTTGAGATATCCCTTTGTGACGAGGAAGACGTCGTGGGCCTCCTTGTGCCAGTGGAAGCCGGGCGCATCCGACAGGACGGCGCCGCTGGTGAAGACGGCGATGCCGCCATTGGTCTGTTTCGACGAGGCGAGGATGCGGAAGGCGCCCTTGCTTCCCGGCAGCGTGATGCGCTCGCCCTCGAGCTGGTCAATGATGTAGTTTGTCCGCTCCTGAGGCGGCAACGACTGCAGCGGGATGCTCATACTGCCGGCTGTATTATTTTTACTCTGGCTGTGGATGATGAAGAAGAAGCAAGAAAAAGAATATCTTTTTAATGTCGGCGCAGTGCTTCTAGGAATCTAGTGGTGCAAAAGGTGTACCAACAAGACGATACGACAAAAATTTTGACACAAATCGAGGATTTCAGAATATACCAAAAAAATCACACCTTACTCCAAGATGCGCGCCCCTTTTATTCAGGATTCTCTCTACTACTACTACGTTTTGCTCTACACCGACGAAGGTCACCGGCCATCTGACAAGTTCCCGAGTACCCCACAGCTTCCGAAAAACGCCAAGATTGGAATCCCTCTGATGACTCGTGAGGGGTTCGTGGGAACGCGTGGTGTGTCGAAGGGAAATGCCGTGCGCGAAGTGGAGTTGGTTGTCGGAATTGCCGGGTGTGCTGAACTCTCAAGTCCGTCCTCCTTCGCGAAAGGGTAATATTGTCCAGGGACCAAGGCGTAATGGGGCTGGGGGGGTCTGGACTGGGGGGTCTGGACCTGGACTTTCATCCAGGCAATGGGGAATGTAAATCCAGTCACTCGGACTATGGAATTGTCGCAGGCTGAAGGGTCCAATGTCTGATCAGCTCAGAGTTGTATTATTCTCGAATCAAGAAGACTTGGCTGCATACGATGAGATCATGAGAGGTCAACGTCTGGGACCTCAATGGGGAGTTCTCTACGATTGATATTACACGCTGCGTAGAGTATGTGTCAATTGGCAGCAGTGCTGGGCTTGAATGCAATAGCATCTAACCAATAGATGGAGCATTATGTTCCCTATTAGAATAGGGCATAAGAATTAGCATGTACTATCGCTGACGCTGCGCGGGGTGGTTTTGGTACCACATTTTCCTATGGAGTCGTCCGTCGCAAGACCGAGACTACCGAGCGGCGTTGCCGGCGGGTCTACCACCACTTGTCCGTCTGTCTTTGCTTGCATGGTCACCGGTGCTATTCCTACCCCAAGAATACCGACGCCGCTTAGGTAAACCTCAAGTTGATATCATTTCATTTTATTTCGCTTCCATTCCATGTGCCATTGAGGACATCTGCGGGTTGACAAGGTCTGGAAAAGTCAAGAGCCAACCAAGGAACTTTATTTATCTCCGAACATTTCAGCATAGGTCCGAAAAACATGGCCTACACAAAATCGAACCGCCTTGTCTACAAGGTGTTGGATGGGCAGGAAATCGATGTTGAAACCTATCTGCCAGCGACTGAGAAGAAGGCCAGCAGAGGACAGCCCGTCAGTAAGTGATGCACCAATCTCATACCCATGAACTCGCAGTCTTACACTCTGGGACAGTCATCGATATCCATGGAGGTGCCTTTATGCTGGGTGCCTCGGGCATGGTGAACAAGGACCAGGTCGAGGATTGCCTGAGCCGTGGATGGATAGTATTGGTCCCCAATCATCGGTTGTGCCCGCAGGTCGACCTTCTGGAGGGACCCATGAAGGACTGCCGTGACTTATTGGCTTGGATCTATGATGGCAGTCTGCAGAAGCAATTATCGACTGTTCAGGGAGACGAGTTCAGGGTCGATCTCGATCACGTTTTCGCATTTGGCACATCTTCTGGAGGCACATTGGCTCTCAGCCTGGTATGTTTAATTGAAGCTAAATGTCTACACTCACGTTTCCTAACCATTGCATTCAGGGCTTTGGCGTTCCGCGCCCCGTGGCTGGAATCTTTGACATGTACGGACCTTGCAACTTTGCCGACCCGTTCTGGACTAGTCCCCTGCCGCACATGCAGGCGAGGCTGCCGCCGCTGGCCGCCGACTTTATCGCCAAGATTTACGACGAGAAGCCGGTGCCCATCGTGGGCGGCGTCTCGCTCGAGGGCCAGGCGACGGGCGGTCCCAACTTTGGCGATCCGCGGGTCGCCTTTGCCATGACCCAGATTGGCAACGGCACCGTCATGGATGCCATTTACCCGTCCAAGGACTGGGCAAAGGTCGACCCGCTGCTCAATGTTGATGGTGCCTCGTTCCCGCCCACCTACATTGTTCACGGCTTGGCCGATACCATGGTGCCCATCAGCCTGAGCAGAGACTTGTATGCTGTATTGCAGCAGAAGGGCGTCAAGTGTGAGATGACTGAAGTGCCAGATGAGGAGCACACGTTTGCTGGCAAAATGAAGGTTGGAAGTCAGACGTGGGACCTCCAGCGGAAAGGGTTTGATTTCTTGGAGAGTCTGATAGTCTAAAGTCGCGGAAGATGATATTTTGAGTCGCGACTCCTATATGGGAAGCTGGACGAGCTCAAGCGATAAGGCCCAGAAGATTATTTTAGAAAAATATATTCCCATTGAGAGGCGCACGTTAGCCACTACAAGCCTACTGATTGATAGGTCGCCAGTATCAAGTCAGAATGGAAAATAATGATCCAGTAGTGTCAGTCATTTGCGATGAGAGATGATAAAACCAAGAATTATGTTACATCAATAACTCCTTGTATGCGCTAAAATCATTACACAACAACGCCATGACGCTTCGAACTATATCGACATCCGTGACATTCTCGACTTGATCCACGAGGTCACTCTGCCAAGCACTGGCACTGGAGCGACCCAAGTCGTGGCGCAGTCGGCTTCCACTTGCTTGTTTTCAGTGAATGGACTTTCCTTTACGGCATCAGCCACCTCCTTGAAGGCATCGTAGCCATACAGCCACGGCTGCACCTCTGGACATGTCCATCGGCTTGGGAAAGGTCCGCTGAGCTTCTCTCCATCCATGTACTGACGGAAGATTTCATCACGTGCTTGTTGCTTGGGGCCATCGTGCATGTGGAAAGACTCGCGCTGCAAGGAATTGTGAGTGAGCATTCGCTTAACGGGAGGCATAATGGCCAACGTACCTGCTTGAATGTTTCGCGAACGATAGCCTCACCCCTGGCTTTCCGCAGCTTCTCGTACATCTTCAGAGCTTTGGGCAGCTGCGCCTTGGAGTTGATGTGGCCCAAGAGACTTCCAAGCACAGCTCCGTCCTCAATTGCCGAGTTGGCACCTTGTGCCAAATACGGCAGCATGGGATGGCAGGCATCACCGCTTCAAAAAGTTGTACCCATTAGCCGACGTTCTTTTCCGTCATTGCAGCATGTCTGAGGAATACTTACACAAAAACAAAGTTGGACTTGTCATTGACCCATGAGTCGAGCTCCTCTCCTAGGAAGAATGTTAGTCTGAACCACAAAGCTGATCAGGAGCAGCATCTACTCACTGTGCATCAGTTTCCACTTATCAACGTCATCGACAAGATCAAGGAACCTTCCTAGGATAGGGTCCCAGTCCTTGAACAATGCCTTCATCTCTTCAATGGAGCCAGACTGCTTGCTCACACCTTCCGGGAGATCATCCGGCACCAAAAGAACAATGTTGTACATCTGTCCAGCACGGAGCGAGTAACCCACAGCATGGGCGCCAGGACCGATCCAGAAGTGACATGACGGATACTTGACCCAAAGTCTGAGTTCTGGATCTTGAATTTGGTCGAGATTAAGCACGACTCTGTAGGCCAGGTCGCCAGTCGGGATCGGTGGGTCATTTCTCCCCAGCAGACACGCCCGACTCTTGGACCACAAGCCGTCGGCAGCGACGATGAGGTCTGCTCTGCCTTTCAGTCCTGAGACACATGTAATCTCGGGTATGTCAAAGTCGATAGACTCAATCTTCTCGCCCAGGTTGAACACGACACCGAGATCCTTGGCCCTCTCATAAAGGGAGAGCTGCATGTCGACACGATGCAGATCGATGAAGGGAGCACCGTATTTTTGACGAATGTTCTTATCAAAGTCCTTTTCCATGGCGAGAACCTCACCCGAGTACCGGTGCACCAGCAGAGAAGTGGGCTCTGCTGCAGATTGCCACAATCGATCTGGCAGTCCCCATTTCTGCAGGATCCTTGTGCAGTTAGGGGTTACCTGGAGTCCAGCACCGACCTTGGGAAATGCATTTCAGTATATGGGACGAAAAAGAAAAGATAACCAAATTTCTAGGTAAATGATGAACTCACCTCGAGGAGCTCCTTGGCAGATTCATATACGGTCACGTGGTGTCCGGATAGAGCAGCTCCAATCGCAGAGGCCAAACCACTCAAGCCGGCACCGACCACGATAACGTCCAACTGGACGGGACTCTTTCGCTGTTCTTGCGCCTGTGATTGGTGGTGAGTACTATTGCCGAGTTGTATATCGGATGCGAAACCTGTTTACTGACCATGACTGCCGAGAATATGAGCTTGTGATGAAAGCAGCAGAGGAACAGACAGCAAGAGAGTGAAGTTTTGAGTTGGAACCCGATAAATGGTAGTTGACAGAGGAAAGGGATTCCCGTGAATGCCTTGGCTCTTGCTAGGATGCTGCGTCTATGCCCCCACGCCACCCCAGATTTCCCCCCAGGATAATGGGGGAAATAAATGAAACCGACAGCTGCTCAGTTAGGAAGTTGGGGAAGATTGCTCGGAATTTCCGGCCCCTGTGTTGTGGTTTTCCCCCCGGGCGGCAATTCCGGGCCCCGACACTTTTGGCGAGGGTGTCAAAGTTCGAGATCTGGATCAGAGGCGTTTCTTGCCGCGGATGATCCTGCAGGTTGGGGTAGTGCAGAAACGATTGTCGGGTTCGACAATGACCGACATGCGAGACAGGCACCACCAGCTTTCAATAGGCTTACATGATATACCTTCGAGATGTGTCCTCATTTCTCAGAGAGGCGCAAACAAGGTTGGTTTCTCGTCTCCCGAGGTTGCACTTCCAAACAGATCGTTGGGTTCAGTACAATCAAGTGTCGAGCGGTAACTCCGTAGACTCGCTTATTTCACATTGCATCTTCTGTTTTCTTATACCTCCTATGTCAATCTATTTTGCCCTAGCCTTTCGTGGCGTTGCGGCAGGAGTATATCGTGGTTTGTACCTGGATACGGTATGGCACACTTGCCTAGAGGAAAGCAGCGGCAGTCGTTTTCGGTATTTGTACTCCATTGAACAGCTAATAGGTGGCAGCTATCCGATGCCGTGAAATGCCAATGATACAGTCGCGAATTGCAATAGCTGTCGTAGGCTGGAGCACGAAATAATGGGACGGCTTCAGATCAGCCAGCTACCTAGCATCAAGCGGGCCACTAACGATGTGCGACGCGTCAAGCGAGCATTTGTCAACTTCAGCAATATTTTTATGTGCAGCCGTCAAGTAACTGCTTAGGTAAGTAAAGTATGCATGCTTCTCATGCCAAGAATGACTGTTGCTTCAAAGCCGAGTCTGAGAAGTGTTGTATCGTGTTCGTAAGAGCAGATAGAGAGAGAGAGAGAGAGAAAGACTCTGACGACAGAGCGAGACGTGGATCGTTTTACCCTCTCATCTTATTCCTGAGGTCGATTGTCACCTTGTGCAAAACAAAGACGGACAAGGTCGATCAGTCGGACCGATGCCGTCCACTGTATGTATGCACATGCATGCATGCAACCTGGGCGGTGTCTCGGGGTGCAGCAACTCAAGCGTGACTTGACTCAACTGAGGCTGATGACCTTTCTTTTGGCGGCGGCGTTTTGGTTGCTTCTTGGGCGTCTCTCCGCATTGACGAAGTCGACCTTGTCCAGTGTTTCCTCTACCCCACATTATTTCCCCACTCCCCTAGACCCCTCTCTTTCCCCCTTGGCTCGGGCCACGTGATGGAGACCGTGTTCAGGGCACGATCCAGATTGGGTTGGGTGCGATTGGATGGAGGAGGCGACATTACCTTATCCAAATGCAGGACAGACGGAGTGCGGCGCAAAGGCAGCAGCAAGCAAGGCAAGCAAGCAAGCAGCAGATATTCGGACCCCGACGAGTAACCACACTCCGTATGCACAATTGCGCGCGCGACACCATTAGACAAAGCAAGCAATCCAGAAACATACGATCATCGTGAGACGCGCTGGCTGTTGGCTGCTGCTACTGCTACTGCCTACCACCTAGTTTTTGCTTGCCCATGCTTCCGCCTTTAGATTGCCGCATTTTCGGACGCGATGGACCGTCCCAGTCCGCGCCCGCCTGTCCAGAACTCCAGTAGTAAAGTCCGGAGACCCCGGGCTGCGCGGGCCTGCGATGCTTGCAGGATCAAGAAGAACAAATGCGACGATTTGTATCCATGCACTTATTGCCGAAGTAGGTTTGCTCCCTTGCTGTAGTATTTCAGTCAACTCTCATCTCATCGAGTGTGACTTCCGAGTCCAGTCTGCGACTAACCTCTGTCCTCCTCAGACCACAACATAGAATGTGTCTACCGGGGTCAAGATTCAGGCAGGAGGCTATTCACGCCAGAGTGAGTGCTCATTCACTTCCATCATGTAATACCAACAACACATGACAAGACTGAACACTCCACTAGCTATGTGAGACATCTCGAAGAACAAGTAAGACGGCTTTCCGCATTTGAGGCACAAGCGAAAGCAGGGCAAGCAACGACCTCTCAGCAGCCAGCACCGCTCGTGGCTAAGGATGCTGCACCATCAGCCTCCAGCCCTGCGTACAAGGAAAACGAACGTCATGCATCTAGCAGCTATGACGCAGATTCCCCAGCCTCGCTCCGCCTAGGTCAGGCATCGGGTCAGGAGATCTCGGGCATCAACAGACATACTCGCAATGTCGAGTTCTATGGCAGCTCATCTTCCGTTGCATTATTGTCCCAGGTCCAGAGAGCCGGCGATGAGCCGGAAGAAGCACGGGAGGACCAAGACGGAGAGGCTCTCGTGTCGAATCTACACAACCATGCATTCTCCCCCGCGGTCGATGCCGCCCTCGGAGGTCAGCGCCCGGGACGGGTGACACATTATCCCCAATGCCAAAATTTCATCATGAACTATTTCACAAGTCTACATTTCGTTCATCCCTTCTTGGACAAGACCGAGTTCTTGTCTCGCTGTGAACAGCTGTGGTCGCAGGAAGGTCATCATTTACACACGTCGAGCTTTGCGGCACTTTATTACAGCATTCTCTCGTTGGGCGCCTTGGTCGGACCTAGGGAGGAAGAGCCCATCGGTGGCATTACGAATATGCAGTGGAGCAGGACTTTTTTTGACGAGGCCATCGCACGATGCCATCGGCTTGGCATGGTAACTGACTTGGACATGGTACAGTGCTACTTTATGCTGGTAAGTTACATTGTTTCTCTTCTTCCGCAGGTGCACCCAAATGTCTCATCAACTTCAATAGTCCAAGATCTGTCAAAATGAGTTGAATGCTCACTGTAAGTAATTATCCACTAGATCAAGCATGTTGGCACTAGCTGACTGACTTGACAGGGTCGTATATGTATGTCGGCCTGGCAGTCCGGACAGCATTGGCAATGGGCATCAATCGGGAGCCGAGCCCTCAATCAAAGAAGCCAGTCTCTCAGCTGAAGGCTGAAGCTAGAACATGGTGGTAGGTTCTAAAATATGCTTATCGAATCACCTTGGCAGTAGCTAACATGTAACAGGGGCTTGTACTCACTGGAAACGTAAGCATTCATGCCTGGCCGCCGATGACCCAAATCTATGCCTAACAACCGTGTACAGTGAAATGTCATTCGCCATGGGAAGACCAGATACACTTGGAGCGGATCTATACCATAATCGGAGTTTCCCACTCATTGGTAACGACAACTCTGGGTCCATGCCAGACGACCATTTCGACCCACCCCAATGCGCCATCATCAAATCAATGGTGGATCTCAGCAGAATCACCAGGAGTATTTGCCTAGACATCTATTTACCAGAGACCATAACGCCTAGAACAGTGGCTCTCGCATACCGGCTGGAGCAAGATCTTGACAAGTGGGTCGAGGGCCTACCAGATGCCATCAGACCCAAACAGGCGACAGGCGAACCTGTGTCCTTAAAGAGTGTTCGTGATCCTCAATGGGCCAAGCGGCAGCGGCTGGTCCTAGGGATAAGTGAGTGCCCTACAAAGATCCATGTGTGCTTCTCTAACGTGAGATTACAGGATACCACAATTTGCGCATACTTACGTTTGGCTCACTATTACTTACGTCATCTTCAAACGACCAAGGTGCATTGCCTGGGCTTCGTGAAGGCGTACAAAAATGTCTAGACTCGGCAAAGCAGACTATTGATACCATATACATCACATATCAGCATCATGACTTTTTCCGCACATGGTAAGTTCACCCTCCGCGTTGGCCATTGATATAGTGAGCTGACATATTTCAGGTATTATAACACTACATACACCGTCTTTGCCGCCTCCGTCATTCTAGTATACGTAATGAAAGAGGCAACAGAAGCAGAGATGGATCCATTGCTTCGCGTGGTAGCAATGGCTATTGAAATCCTGGAAACTATGGATGAGTGTGTTGTCGCACTCAAGGCGGCGAAACTTATGCAAAGAGCCATCGACAAGGCAAGAAGAAAGTTTTCTACTGAAACGCCACCAGCTGTCCCGCCCGCGGTAGATGCCAACGAGGCCATGCTGCATCTCAACCATTACTGGGGACCACTCAACCTTATTGATGGAGAGATGGATTTTGATTTTGCTTTCCAGCTTGATGATATGGACGGCTCGAATCCAATGTTCTTACAACAATGAAATAGCGGAAAGTCATGTACAGGTTTCCCAGGCAGAGACGGACCAATCGCAGTCCTCGTATGTCCTAGTTCATGCTTCATTTTCAAAAACATTAATGAGAGTCCCAACATGGGGACTGATTTTGACGTCAAACCTATCTCCATCTTGCAGCGTGACCTTTGGGCTTTTCCCAGCACCGACGCCAGCAGGCGTTCCCGTGATGATGACCGTCCCAGCAGGTAGCGTGGTTCCCTGCGACAAGAAGCTCACCAATTTTGGGACGCCGAAAATGAGATCACTTGGGTCCCGGTCAGTATCTTATTGTACCAGCCAAAAACGAAGAGGCTTACTCGATTCCACTTTCCTGCACAACTTCGTCGTTCTTTGAACCCTGGATTTGCAGCTTTGCCGGGTTAGGCACAAGCTCCTTAGAGGCAATCACGGGACCTGGAAAAGATCAACTTAGCTCCAGTTGGCAGTCTCTAGAAAGTTACAGCGGCATATTACTCACCAATAGGACATGAGCCATCAAACCCCTTGGAGTAGCACCACTGGGTCTGAGCAAACTGCGCGGCGCGGCTCGACACATCGTTGGCAGCCGTGTAACCCAGCACGTAGTCCAGAGCTTCAGCCTCGGACACGTTCTTGGCCGTTTTGCCGATGATGACGGCGAGCTCGGATTCATAGTCGCCCGTGTTAGTCTCCTGCGTCGCTTTTGGCAGCACCGTCTTGGCGGGCCACGGGTCGCCTAGGGAGGTGTTTGGCTTTCTTGTTTGGTTGTCACAGCGTTTAGTTATATATACAGCCTTTGTGTGCCCCACGCGTATAGGAGAGCGGAAAAAAAGAAACTCACAAGAACACGGTCGGCACATTGGGAATATCGCACTTGGCTTCCTGGGCATGCTTGACATAGTTGAGGCCGATGCAGCGGATGGTCCCGACTTCCTCGGGGGCCAAGGGCGAGAGCACGCGCTCGACAATCTCGCGGCCCCCGGTCTTGGATCCGGGCTTCAGCACCGAAGCGCCGGAAAAGACGTGGGCGGCTATTTCTTCACGTCGCCATAGTGCGGCTCCGACGTCGATGGTCTCGGACTCGGGTTCCCCGATCAGGACCTTGGACGGGTCGGACTTGGGAACGAAACGAATGAGGCCTTGTAATTGTTCGGATTAGTTTTGTGTGTTGCTTGTTTTGGGTGGATTGTAGCTGGTTGGACGGCTCACGTTTGAAGGACGGGATCGACATGTTGGATATATCTTGGTACGTCCTTTTGGGCAAATGCAGCTTCTCGTCGAGTTGAAAATAGATTTCAATGGTCAAGTGAATACAAAAGACTCCCTCGACTCCCGAAATATTCAGGTTAGAATACCGCCGTAGTTGTATCCGGTGGACATCCAGCATCCCCCACTTGCCTCCGCCCGGGCGGAGCTCCCCCCATTTGCATGCAAATGCAGGTATAATAATATGGAGTGGCGGGGATGATTGTTGACGGAGCTCTCTCACCCGGATGTCCGGGGACCAGTGCTCAGGGTCTTACTCATGGCTATTGAACTAGAAACGACACATGAGGAGATTCCAGACGTCGTTTCAAAGTGTACAAGCCAGACATTCGGCTTCTGCGGGATCGAGCTTCGATCTCTAGACGACATCAAAAGCTATCTAGGGAATCACGGCGTCAGAAATCGGAATCTGCGGGACCAAAGGAAAACAGAGCCTGCGAAGAGTATCGACTGGAAGCAAGCAAAACTTCTGTTTTCTCTCAAGTGAAATTATAATCACAAGTGTTAGTCGGCCAGCAGTGTTTTTGTCAAGAGATGATGATAGAAGGAGAGCTGCCGATTGTAGATGAGCCTATGACGACTCAAATCTACCTGGTTAATACAAACAAGGCTCGTTGACTACACGTATGGCAATGTTTTAGCTATGTAGAAGCGCCGTTTGAATGAAAGCAAAAAGGGAGATGTGCAAATAACATTTAGCGCTCCCGAGTATATACTACCCTCTGAATAGCATTGTTCAAATGAGCTTTATGCTGGTGCGATCATACCAGCAGTATTCTGCTCGGCCATTCAAACGTCCTGTAGTCCGCAATCTGTGACATAACAAAGAGCTACCCAGGTAAGTAGGTAATTATACACAGGCGTCTGGACTCGGCTCGAAACGTGCAGATTGGCCAACTCCGAATGCCTTGATTGCGAAACAGATTGCATTTGCAGGTGCCCAGTGTCCCGAGGTGGAGGTAGCCAAGGTGGCGTTATATCGTGATTCCTTAGTGACCGTTTTAGGGAGGTGGATCGGCGGTTGGTCCCTGCATTCAGCGCGCGATGTGACCTGTGGCACAGTGGAGCTGAGCTGTTGTTCATCGGTGCTGACTGACTGCTGTAGCTCCGAATACCGATGATTTGGGTGCTTCAACAATAAACAACGACAAACCTCGGTGCGAGCCCATCACCCTTACAAGAGCTCTGCACCTTTCAATTAGTTTTTACTAGCTGCAGAAACATGTTGCGACCGTCCCTCATCAATCTATTGCTTCTTGCAAGCACTGCCGATAGAGTTGTGAGCTCTCAAGAATCTGGCGCACAGGTCGTCTTGGGTCAATCAGCGGGCCACTCGCCAGAAACGGTGCATCACGACTTTAGCACCGAAGAAGCACAGCAACGAATTCTACAAACCGTCGAATCGTACCCTGATCCCGTCGACGCATTTCTTGCCCTTCATCCCAATGCTGCCGCCGCGCTTGCCGAACCACGACTCCTACACGTCATCGGAGAGGATGAGCCGGAATGGATGACGGTCGGAGCCAAGATGCGCCTGAGGAGGAATGGCAAGAAGTTCATGGACGTTACAGACTATCATGACATGTACAAGGAGCAAGTCGGCGCCCTATCTGGAAAAGCTAGTGAGTAGCCTTTTCAAGCGCAAGCGACAATCATCACGAGAGCAACAGACTTACACAGAAACAATAGAGCTACCCGACCTCACGCACCAAAGATTGGTCAAGCCTCTCTTCCCGCAGGTATCGACCTCGAAAATGCACGACGTGCTCAAGCACATGACGAGCTACTATAATCGATACTACGGAGGTGTCATTGGCGAGACGAGTGCCCAGTGGCTCCATGATCACATTGCCGAAATTATTGCCCAGAGTCCGTTCCATACGCACATTTCCCTCGAATACTTTACGCACATCTTCCCACAGCCGTCCATCATTGCCCGGTTCGAGCCCAAAGTCCGCAACTGGACGCAACCTCTCACAATTCTGGGCGCCCACCAGGATTCAGCAAACTACCTATTTCCCCTCCTACCTGCGCCGGGCGCCGATGATGATTGCTCGGGCACAGTGAGCATCCTGGAGGCTTTCCGTGTTCTGGCTCTCAGCGGCTACATCCCGCAGGATGGCCCTGTTGAGTTTCATTGGTATGCTGCAGAAGAGGTGAGTATGCGATTCAAAGAATACCAATGGAGAGTATAATAGGCTAATGTGTTACAATCCAGGGCGGTCTTCTTGGCAGTCAAGCTATTGCTAGGTACAAGAAAGACTCCAATGCTGTGATTGGTGCAATGATGGAATTTGTAAGCTTTCCTTTGTTTAAGCATTCAATGACTTGACAAGCTTACGATTGCCAGGATATGACTGCCTACGTTGCCCGCAATGCCACCGAGTCCATTGGCTTCATCAAGACGCAAGCCGATGTGCCGCTCACCGAATGGGCTCACAAGCTTGCAAAAGAGTACATCTCCATTGCTTCTGATGTTTATGAACTTGGCCCGTAAGTCTTGAGATTTCAGTTCTACGACAACTACAAGACTAATTGTATAATAGTAATGCCGGTTCTGACTACATGTCATATACGAAACTCAACTACCCAGCAGCGTTCGCAAGCGAAGGTAAGTTCAAGTGCATGATCTGTAATCATTTCTTGCTTCTCTCCAGACAGCTAAACGTAGAATGTTAGGCAACCCGCTCGCTGGTGGAGGCTTCCCTGGCGACTCTAATCCGTATATTCACACGACCAAGGACACAATGGACGTGGATGACAAAATCGGCTACTTCTCTATTGATGTAAGTGCTATTCAAGATTGCCTCGGTGTAATCCAGACTAACGCACCATAGCACATGGCCCGATTCTCGGAGCTTGCCATTGCATTTGTTATTGAACAAGCTGGATGGGACAACCGATGGCGGTAGACTGTAACTTGAATTTTGACGGTCGCATAATTAATGAAGCCTGTATGGCTCGAAGCCAGGATTTGATTTTGCATTTTTAGCAAGTGGAGATTGAAGTAACAACAATATCTTACCATGGAGGATCAGGTGACGAGGAACTTCCAAGTATCAAAGAACTAACAGGAGCATCTTGGTTGAAGAACTTGATCCCACTTATACAAGTAGCTTGGCATTTAAGTCGAATCTATACAAGGCCATACGATGAGATTTAATTTTCTGGCAGTAGAAATAATAGTTTTATTTTCCCTTAGTAGTAACGATCGAATCTTGCCCACTAAATCCTCATTTCGTGCGAATCATCCAACAGGCAATATCCGCTGGTGAAGCTGTCCTACTAAACAGCGGAGTGGCAGTTGCGGTCTTCCTGGTAGGAAACTAAGTGGTGCTGAAATTCAACCTGGTGCCGGCTGGTGTGTTGAATGCTAGAGTATCGAAAAGCAGAGATGGCTTTGCTGGGAAGACTTTTACGGAGAGAGTCATAACTTTCTCGGATCGTACAAGTAAACCTACCATGTGGTTTTATTTGTTTTTCAATTTTCCTTCCTTTTTTTTCCTCACTAAGTACTTGCTAAGTTGATTGTTTTGAACCTTTGGACATCGAGAGAAAATCTGCCATAGTGTTGCTTTTGAAGTGTTACTTGCATTTCCTCCTTCACACCCACCGGCTGATTTGTTCAAATTGTAACCAACCTTTTGTACATGCCGGTTTCTTGCCTGCTTGTCCCATTTCAATTGGCTTGCTTGTTTGAACAGCCTCTGGGACATTTCTAGTCAGGTTGATTGAGTGGTCAGTAATAGTTCGACGACGTTCGAAATGCCCCTGGCAACGACACCAGAGATGGTTATATCAATACCGCATGATGTAGCCTTGGTTCGTGACGCTCTCAAACTCCTCTGACCACAAAGCAAGATAAGTTGCAACAATGAGTGACAGGGTCAAGCTTCACCAGGTTGACCGCTCCTGTCGGTTCCTCGCTATTGACATTGACTGACAACTACTCCTTGTGGAGTATTTTGATGTCTGCTTGTTCATTGGTAATAATGAGTCACGGGCCATCGATGAACAGGTATGGTGGCTAGAACAATTGCGCATCGGCATGACATTGATCAGCCTTGCAGCCAAGGTTTGGGGTATGCGCACTTAGGGGACGTCGAAAGACCGTCGAAGATGGTGTCTGGGGTTATTACTACTTCATCATCTCGCGCGCTTCTGCGGCCGGTACGATAATAGGACGGAAAAGAGACGAATTACATGCCACAAAACCAAACCTTGTACTATGCACCAATACTGTAAAATGGAGCATTATTTTGGGCAAACTGAGGGGGGGGGGGGGGGGGGAAATACTACTTGCAACATCAAAGTGCACCAAGCTTGAAACACAAACCATTAATATGTGCTAGACCGGCAAGGAAGCCAATATTGCCATTCACATGATCCGCGTATCACAGAACTTGGATTGTTCAGTCGAGCTTACTAGTTGAACCTTTTATTCATTTTCCAGCTATCCATCAAGATGACAGACTTTCTTTACTCGCATATATTCCCAGGCTAGCAATGAACTACGGCCGAGAAAAAGTCCAATAGGCATCCAATTGACTTTTCCTCCGTGTCGGACACACTGTACTCTGCTAGAATTGGACAACAACTGTCTTGTGTCCGCATGTGTTGAGGGAAGAATCCTCCGGGAATTAGGAAATACTACCACTTCTTCAACCAATGTGGATGTACCCGCTCACAGCTAATGTGATTATTTGACCGCTTGGTCTTTGTCCATTCCATTCTTGTTGGATTCTTTTCACTCACATATGCACGGAACTGATGGTGGAAACATGCGCAAGGTTTCGTCAAAGTGAGAAGGCAAACAACCAAGTCAAATAGCCGCACTCCCGCATATTCCAAACAAGATGAAAGAGTATTCGAAGCTGGGCAATATCGCTAATTTATCCGAACCTTGAATATAACCAGCCGATATTTCGAACTTGGATATCGGGAATTAGTTCACAGCCCTCATATAATTGATTCTTTGGTGCATTTGCCGACGTATGAGCCTGTTATAAGCAAGTGGAACCTGGACGACATAATCCACCCGAGACGATAAAGACTTGGAGCAACTGGATCAAAGCGGGGGATTTCTCCAAATCACCAAAGTTGATTTTCACCCCGGCTTACATAGAATGATTGTGTCTTGTCTTATCAAAGAGTGATGGAGACGGGGAAACCCGGAGGGGTGAAGGAGGAGAAGGGCGAATGCAGACTGTAGGTCATGGGATAATCAACTCCGATATGCAGACTGCAGAGAATCAATGATCCCCAAGTATTCTGCCACTCGAGAAGAACGATCCAGATATACTCCGCTATCGAATCCGGGGCAGGTAATCAGAACCCCAGCTCATGTGACAAGGTGACCTGCATCTTTCGATGTGTAGCTGATAGCTCTTCTGTATCATCCAAACAAGAATAGGACATCCGTTTCAAGCGGAATCCAATCAGAATCAGTGATATGGACAGCGGGGACATTGGGTATGGGCATGATGCTCTGCCCGAGGGCGCGTTCTGGAAGCCCAACCCCGTCCTGCCCCCCACGAGGTACAATCTAGAGGCTTCATCGAGTTGATGATTGGCCACGAGCAGAGCATATTTGCATGTTGTTCCTGCGTTAGTTGACCGAATTTAGCACTGATTAAGCACGGGATCAGCCAAGATTGGTGTCACATGAGTGTATTCAGGCTACATGCGGAGAGTCGGTATGATAGCCCATTGGGTCATACACCACAGACTGTCTGATCTACAGAGATCGGGCAATGGCGAGTACAGCATCACTCTTGATTCCGGGACCCGATCTAGGCTTCGCGCACACCATCACGATTCTCACGTGGCGTGTGAGATCTACTGCGGCTCAAAAACTCTAAGGCGGACTAGAAGGCGGGTTTGAGTCGACTGATCGTGCTAGTTTGCATTCTCCTTTGTCACCTTCCGCATTTGCAAGTCTCGGTCGCAGAGCCGCATGCATGTTATATATTTATAGGGCTGAAGCGATAACGTCTTTTTTAACATTCAAGAAATTGAACAAGCAAAATGTGAGATGGAAGACGCAATTCGTACCACTTTTCAAAATGAAATTGTTTCCTACTGTTCGACATGGAGATTTTGTGACGACCTTTTGCTCTGGAGGAGATTGGAAGAGAAAGACTTGGAGAACGGGAATATAACTCAGCAAAGTCGCAGAGAGCTCTCCTTTACCGGCGAAACAAAACACCATAGTCGAGGTTTATTTTCGTCGTCAGGCTCGTATGATGTTCACGCGAAGACTTTCTACCTGAGAGTCGAGCGGGGCGATGAACATCACACCTCGGCAGCAACAAACTCGGGGGAAAACAACAACCACCGCACATTACCTTGATATTTTTGGCGGCCCAAGAGCCAACCCACATCAACACAGTCTTGGCAAGTCAGTTGATGCAGAATTTTGTGTGGACACAACTGTGCCTTCTTGTCGGCTCCAACATTCGGTAGTGACGTAAAATTCTCGAAGCTGTGGACTTTCGACAATGGAACGGAAGTTGATGTGGATAATCGGGTGTAGTCTTGCCCGACGACTCCGCTCATCGGAATATGAGCTGGATTGAAAATTTTGAGATTTCTAAACAAGTCTGGGGTTGTTGGAAGTCCGAACCAAGAAAAGTCTTTTGCCTGCCGTGAGGTCGAGCTAATTATTCCCGAAAACACGTGGTTGCCGGCCGACGATCGTACTTTTGGGTTATGGGGGTAAAGAAAAGGGAGTGATGAATTCGGCAACCTACCTATCGATTGATTAATTGATTGAATTGTGACCGCGAGACGCGATACCAAATGCTCCGATAAGTGTACCGGTCCCAGCTCAGCTCAACAGCGGGGATATGTACGGAGTCGTAGTAGTGTGCAGTGTAGGACCTTGGAAGCCAGGGGTTTACTCGAGTACATCGTGAGTCGGATTCCGGGGTGTTGCACCTTTTAGTGACGGTTTGGGAAAGGTGAGGCGCCAATACCCGTGACGTTCGCGAAGGAAACCCGCTCCTCTGGGCCTAGTTACTGTTTGCGGACGTCTTTCTCTCCTCAGTGCTCACCGCGATTACATGGCCCGACAGGCCATTATGGGCTGCGCGTGACCTCGTCGAGTTTTCCAGCAGACGGGTTGGGACTGTTGACAATGGGGGAAAAGGGCCGAATAGGTTGTGCGGGGAGCCTGGAGCAAGGACTGGAGTTGGGAGCAGGCCTGGAGGCTGGAAATTTGGGGTGCGAGGGGTGGTGGAATCATAGTCGCATGGCAGCGATTCCCCATGCAAGCAAGCAGCTGCCAGCCCAAAGAACCCCCCCGGGCCCCTGCGGCCTTTCGCCCATGGAGCTGGAAAACTTGGGGGACGTCATTCACGTTAAACTGCTTGTAAGGTGGAGCCCCATGGAGCTTCCGATCAGAATCTATTGCATGCATAATCGGCCGCCAATGGCTAAACGTCGGCTCCTCGGGGTGAGCGCGCGCGCACTTGTTTGGTCACTCGCTCGCCTGTCGCTCGGCAGTGGATCTTGGAACTTACCCGACATCCATGATTTTTCTTTCTTTCCTTTGATTCCACCACGGCCGAGTATGGAATTCCGTCTCTGTGGTTGAAGACTTCTTTGTCATTGCCAAGATGACTGGGTATCCCGCTATGGGGTAGACATTGGGCCGCCCAGGTGACGATCGCATTTTGACAAGCTGCCTCCCAAGCCTGTCTGGGTATGTAGGTCATCCAAGCCAAACTGAATGTAGCTTGTCCAAGATTCCAAGTATTCCCTAGGAAGCTCGTCAGACATGCCATGTTCTTTCAACAGATGGGCAGTCCGTGGGGTAGTTAGTGACAAGTCCAGCGCTAATCTCGAAGAAAAAAAAAAAGAATAGACCAACAGCCTCGTCCAAGCTTTTGCCGTCTGTGCAATTCCGCCTCTATCCTGTTCTTGGCTCCCCAATGCATCGACAAGGCGAATCTGACTGACTACCCTTTTTTCTTACCTTCCAAGCATACAAACAAGACGGTGAATGCCGCCCATGTCGCTTCTATTGCCGTATGGATCCCCGGGATTTCCAGTTCTAGAGTCTTACCTACTACACTACACTTACACTATACGCTTGCTCGGCCATCCCTTTCCCGTCCAGCAGTGAAGCACTCCACTACACACTCCACAGGACTCTTTCTTCACGCCAGTAAGCTCACGATCTAGTACTTGGCAACGGTGTGATTTCGGTCCTTCTTTCTTTTCCCCAGAAAACACTTTTATGGGGTTATACTGGAGCATCTTCTGAATGTCATCGCTTACGACGCAGTCCATTCTCTCATCACTCGAGTTGGAACATCATGGATACAGACAGCAGGCTGAATTCCCGCAGAAAGCACTGGCCCTCTCCCTCTTTCCTGTAGCCCATCAAGTGACGACCCGGCGGCATGTTCACCCCGGTGCAAGCGGGGATCCCTGACCCTCGATGCTACGGCATCATTGCCTGTCCCGTAGACTTGTTTGCCCGACTAGATCGTAGAGGTCATGATCGTCTGTCTATATAAGTGCAACTGTCGTCCGCGATGTAAAACGTTTTTCTAGCATGCCGATCAGCCCCAAACGCCATAGCATCAATTCACAATGGCTTCTCCCAGGTCAATCTTGCTGTCTTCTCTCCTGCTAGCCTCTTCGGCTACCGCCCAGGACTTTGGTAGTTCTGGTCGTAGTGAAGAGGCTTTCAGCTATATTCAACCGGAGAACACTACCATCCTGACACAGTATGGATCGTCTCCCGCCGTGTACCCTTCACGTATGCTATACCCATGAAATATGCCCAATCGTGACAGAAATTCTTACTAACTTAACTCTACAGCCAACATCACTAGTGATGGAACATGGGCGAGTGCTCTGGTCAAGGCCAAGGACTTCCTGTCTCTCCTCACCTTGGAGGAAAAGGCCTACATGGTGACTGGTGCCCCTGGTCCCTGTGTCGGTAACATCTACCCTATCCCTCGCCTCAACTTTTCTGGTCTCTGCTTGCAAGATGGTCCTCTGTCCATCCGTGTTGCAGACTATGCCAGCGTGTTCGAGGCCGGTGTGACTGCTGCCAGTTCATGGGACAGAAAGCTTCTCTACGAGAGAGCTTACGCCATGGGCGAGGAGTTCAAGGGCAAGGGAGCTCAGGTTGCTCTCGCACCTGTTGCCGGCCCTCTGGGTCGATCCGCCTATGGTGGAAGAAACTGGGAAGGCTTTGCTGCCGACCCCTACCTTACTGGTGTCGCCATGGAAGAGTCCATCAAGGGTTTCCAGGACGCTGGTGTTCAGGCCACCGCCAAGCACTACATTGCCAATGAGCAGGAGACCATGAGAAACCCCGAGTACAACGACAACGCCACCCTGACCGATGTCCTGTACGAGGCTGTCTCTGCCAACCTTGACGACAGAACTATGCACGAGCTCTACCTCTGGCCCTTTGCCAACGCCGTCAGAGCCAACGTTGCCAGTGTCATGTGCTCTTACCAACGTCTCAACGGTTCCTACGCTTGCCAGAACAGCAAGGCCCTGAACGGTCTCCTCAAGGAGGAACTCGGATTCCAGGGTTACGTTATGTCTGACTGGGGTGGCACACACTCTGGTGTTGCCGCTATCGAGGCTGGTCTTGATATGGACATGCCCGGTGGTATCGGCATGTACGGCCTTTACCCCGAGGCCGGCTCCTTCTTTGGTGGAAACGTCACTACTGCTGTTAACAACGGTACTCTGGACGTCAGCCGTCTGGACGATATGATTCTCAGAATCATGACTCCCTACTACGCCTTGAACCAGGATGTCGACTTCCCCAGTGTTGACGAGTCCGGCGCGGACCTCAACACCTTCTCGCCCAGATCGACCTGGCTGCGTGACTGGAACTTCACTGGCGAGTACGGCCGTGATGTTCGTGGCGACCACGGCTCCATCATTCGCAGACACGCTGCTGAGGCTACCATTCTCCTGAAGAACGTCAACAACGCCCTGCCTCTTAAGGCCCCCAAGATCATTGCTGTCTTTGGCAACGACGCCGGTGATGACACTCAGGGCTTCCTGAACCAGGTCGACTTTGAGTACGGTACTCTGTCCGCTGGTGGTGGTTCCGGAACTGGTCGTCTGACTTACCTCTCCACCCCTCTGAACGCCATCAACAACCGCGCCTCCCAGGACGGTGCCCTCGTCCAGTACTGGCTGAACAACACCTTGATTGAGTCGTCCGAGATGCCCGCTCTGTGGAACCCCAAGACCCCCGAGGTGTGCCTTGTCTTCTTGAAGACCTGGGCTGAGGAGGGCGCTGACCGTGAGCACCTTTCCACTGACTGGAATGGTGACGACGTTGTCGAGTCCGTTGCCAGCTACTGCAACAACACTGTGGTCATCACTCACTCCTCTGGCATCAACACCCTCCCCTGGGCCGACCACGAGAATGTTACTGCCATTGTCGCTGCTCACTACCCTGGTCAGGAATCGGGTAACTCCATCGTTGAGGTCCTCTACGGTGATGTCAACCCCTCCGGCAGACTCCCCTACACCATTGCTTTCAACGGCACCGACTACAATGCTCCCCCTACCACTGGAATCAACTCCACTGGCGTTGAGGACTGGCAGACTTGGTTCGACGAGAAGCTCGAGATTGACTACCGCTACTTTGATGCCAACAACATCAGCGTCCGCTACGAGTTTGGTTTCGGTCTCTCCTACACCACCTTTGCCATCTCGGACATTCAGGCCGAGGCTCTCGTCGACGATATCACTGCGACCCCCGAGGCTCAGGCCACCGTTCCCGGTGGTAACCCTGCCCTGTGGGAGTCCATCTACAACGTCACCGTCTCCCTGAACAACACTGGCGACGTCTGCGGCGCTACTGTTCCCCAGCTCTACGTCACCTTCCCCGACAGCGCCCCGGCCGGCACCCCGCCCTACCAGCTCAGAGGTTTCGAGAAGGTCACCCTTGAGGCTGGTGAGTGCCAGACTGTCTCCTTTGAGCTGATGAGACGTGACATTAGCTACTGGGACATCATCTCCCAGGAGTGGGTCATCCCCCAGGGTGACTTCACCATCAGTGTCGGACACTCGAGCCGTGACTTTGAGCAGGTCACTACCATCACCCCCATTGCTGCATAGATGCAGAAGATGAGATGAGGGGATTGAAGGAAAAAATAAGGCCATCTGATTTAGTAATGATAATGATAGCATGAATTCAAACATGACTAATTGATCAATTCTTTTCTCAAATTCTTTTCATTCTGCACGTGCAAGCAGTGACTATATCTCAGTACCTCTTCTTTTATTTACGTTTCGGAAACCCATGAATTCCAAATGTGCACTGACATGTCTCCAAGTCCTGATCTAGGTTAGAGTGGTATACCTATGGTGGGGCCACCGTTGTGGTGGTCAGGTCATTTGACCACGGTGAGGATTTCAAGGCTGGCTGAATTTCACTGCTGCTTACTTTACCATTTACCTTTAGTGACTATACTATAGGGAGAGTCATCTGATTTCTATGAGTCCTAATTCCAACCCCGCAAAGCGCCAATCCATTCTGACTGCCGACCTGCCAAGAAGCACAACCGGAAACCAGAAGTCGGCACATATAAGGTTTGAGACTTCCAACCCATTGAGACAGCTGAACGGATTGTGGCTTACCAATGCTGCCAAAGACGGATTGGCGCCCCCCTGGTTCATCCCAAGCACCTTCTCCTCAGCCTCCGCACCGGAAGAGCCGCCAAGCAGAATCTGGGGTTATCCGGGCTGCCGGACCAATCCAGAAGCCCGCGCAGCTATTCAACAAGATTATCCAGCCAATGACCAAGACTCTTTGGCCTCAAATCATGACGCTTATCATCCAGCCTCAAGTCGATAACCTCCACCTCCGGAATCCTCGATCCACCCAGTGGATGTGGAACCCCCGGAATTGTGGAGGACAGGGTCTATAATGACTAGGGAAATCCGGGGAAATATGGGGCACAAGCTGCTGATAGTGTCAGAGGAGGAGTCTGGGGTTGAGTCTTGACCGTATATGCGGGAAATGACTGTTAAATAGAAAGAGACCAGTTTGGCTCTGTCATGACTGTCGTATGATGTAGCGTGTTTGTCAACCTCTGGATAGGACCTGTTTTTGCATATCGAGAACTTTGATAGTCTCCCGCTGCCAACATGTCGGGTTGGAAATACGCCTTTTCACTCTCCAAGGCCGAGGTGAAGGAGGCCACACCGCCCGGAACCGTCGTTTTGATTGGTGAGTCTCTCATTCCAAGACGTACTTTGCTGCAGCACTTGAGCTGGTTCCTTACTATAGAAGTGCTAAATCCTTCCAGAACATACAGGAAAGGCCGATCCAGAAGTTGGCGACAACGGCGACGTCACAATACGATTCCCTCGACCCTCGGCAGATCCAGCAGACCCTCTCAACTGGGCACCATGGCGGAAGCATACGGTCCTGCTCGTAGCATCACTGTTTGCTCTCTTCTCCAACTTTACTTCGGCCAGTCTCGCGCCCGGCCTTTCGCTATGGGCCATGAACTATCCCAATGACCCGAGACCATTCCCCATATTGGCCCGACTGATGGCAGTCAACGTGCTGTTCCAGGGCGCGGGCAACATTTGGTGGGTTCCATTGTCGAATATTCTGGGCCGCCGGCCGGCTCTCATCGCCGCGACCTTGATGTTGACCCTTTGCACCATGTGGTGCGGTCTGGCGACCGACTATAACTCTCTTTTGGCTGCTCGGATCTTCCAGGGATTCGGTAATGCTGCAGCCGATACGGTAGCGCCGGCTCTGGTTGGTGATATTTATTTCATGGACGAGCGTGGTCGTGCAATGGTACGTTGAAAGCATAAGTGGCTCTCAGTAAACACACCCAATACTAATTTTACCCCAAGACCCTGTACACTGTGTGTCTGGTTGCCGGGCCTATCATCGGAGGTATTGCCGGTGGATATATTGCCTACACTATTGGCTGGGCCTATGTATTTTGGGTTGGAACGGCTCTCTCGGCTGCTACTTTCGTCGGTACGGTCTTGCTAGTCCCCGAGACTCTTTACTTTCGGGATGAGGTAGTCGATGGAATGAGACAGGGCGAGACCGCCGGCTTGTCAAAGGAGACTGCAGCCCACCTCGAGCAGACGCCGACCCGCAGTACCAACTACCGACCTTACACGTTCGCGCGGTCCCTGGGCTTCATCAAACCTCCCGGTGGCTGGCTGCACCACTTTATCCAGCCTTGGCGCACTCTTGCTCTGCCTGGTACCTGGGTCGTCATGTTGCACTATGGCGGCCTGGTCGGCGGCATCGTGACCATTTCGACCATTGGCCCGCAACTCGTCGCGGCGCCACCGTACCTGTGGGCCGGCAACGCGGGACTCATCAATATCGGCGCCTTGATTGGCTGCATCCTCGGTGCCATCTACACATACCTGCTTTCTGACTCCCGCCTCAAGAGCCAAGCCAGACACGAGAGCCATGGCTATGCCGAGCCCGAAAGTCGTCTGCCCACCATGTTCCCGGCCCTCGTCATTGCCACGGGTGGCTTTTGGGTGTTTGGTTTTTGTGCGCAGAACCCGTCGACGACTGGCTGGGTTGGGCTGCAGGTCGGCTACGGAATGATATCGTTCGGCTTGATGCAGGTTCCTAGCATTGGCTTCAACTACGTAAGTTATCGTCTAAGAAGATGTCAGAGATGCGTGAGCTTTGTTTCCTGAGACTAACGTTGAAACTTTTTCAATAGCTGATCGATGCCTATTCGTACCTTGCCGCTGACTGTTTCGTCATGGTAACCATTCTGCGCGCCATCATTGCTTTTGCGTGGACATTTTTCGTGTCGGACTGGATTGCCAAGGACGGTGCTGCTGAAGCCTTTGGTATTTTCGGCATGCTCATGGGTGTGTTTGGTCTCTTGACCATCCCCCTCTGGCTCTATGGAAAGAGGATGAGGATTGCCACCGCCTCCGTGTTCGGCAATTAATTCTTGGAAATATTTAGTAGCAGGAAACATGCAAACATGATTAGCGTAAAATCAGCGAAACTTATGCATAATATGGCTCAAACGGTCTTTCCTTGCAACTGTCTAGCCAGCCGTGGCTGGCATTGTGACAAGTTATTTCCATATGTGATCATGATGACATGACGGATTTTGATGTCACGCTACATGCAGACGTGTCTTTGGGACAGGTTAACAGACAAGGAGGCATTTTACTTGACAAAGAAGCGAAGATAGGCATTTTAGACTAAAAAGATGACGCTCACATTGAGGCCAACATGGATGCCAGCAGCTTGAGTCTTCACCGCTCAGTGCATGCGGGCAGCCGAGAAGCAGCGAAGCAAACAGACCATTGAGCGTTTGCAAGATGGCTGGCGTTTGTATAGTCTTCGCAGTAGGCGGGGTCTTTGAGATAAAGAATTTATATTGAGCTAATATTTATACCAGTCGACGCAATTTCTACCTTCGACAATCTTCATCGACTTGGCTTGTATGTTACCTTGAAAACTTACTCGTATCATCGGACGGATAAGCAATGGCTGATCCTCCGACACACGACGACGAGTTCGTTTCATTCATCAAGCAGCGAATAGATCACAAGATCAAGCAGTTTGAAAAATGCACATGGGAATCGACGCAGATGAAGATGACCTCCATCGCCAATGAGCGTCAGGAAACCAAGAAGCAGATATATTCGCTCTTGGAAACAGCGACCATATGCTCCCCCTCGCAACAGACGCAAGAGTTCTGCCAGAAAATGGAAGCACATCTGAATGACTTAGCAAGCAGTGCACATTGCGGCTTCAACAAACGCATTGAGGTTGACGATGGAGTCATCAACATCTCGTTTGAACCACTCTCGACTGCCGACGTCGTGCCTGAAGGCAAGACTCCGGAAACAAGCTCTTCTATTCGACGCTCTTCCTTACAGGACAGCATACACGTAGCACCACCGACTCTTCCATCCAACAGAACAAAGCTTGAAGATCGCGACACATCGCGCACGGTTTCGGGCCAAAGAAAGCGCGACCGGAACAGCTCAGGGGAGCCTTTGCATTCGAAACGACGACAAAAGTCCGACAAACGACCGACAGGTGTAACCCCAACTCCTCCGGAAGAAATACACGAAAACCACCAAGGACTGATGTGCCATACCCCTCCAAACTGGCCGATAATAACGAGACAGTCCGTCGGCGAGGAGTACTTGTTCGAATTTCCTTTCGAGAGCAACAGGATATGGGTGTTAAGATGTCCACTGTGTCCAAACCAGAGGTTCAAACGTAACCATCTCTTGAATCAAAACAGTCTATTAATTCACTGCAATAAGGGTGGTCATGATGAGTTTCGAAAAAGGTGGGAAACCGACTCTTTGTATCTCATCAAAAACTGCATCATTGAAGGCATTTTATTTTCATGTTTCATTCCTTTCCATTATTATCCTTGAATATTGTCCAAGTTCTGACTCAACCTATAGTGATCGGGGCCGATATTAAATGGGCCACAAAGCACAACAGCAAGTTCAACTGTAAGTCTCGGCTGTATCATGATCTTTGAGCCAGTGCACGCTTCTAAAGTAACCGGTGACAATAGTCTGGAAAGTGCGGGATCCTCAGTTCCAGGTCCGATACCCCTACATCAACCCGCCTGATCGGAAACCTGGCGCGGAACGACAGCCAGATCGGACCGCGCCCACACCAGCCAGGCCATTGTCTGGTGGAGGACAGTCCAACGGCCCGAGCAGAAACCATACACCAAGACAGCCAAACAAGGCGGACTGTGGTCGTGGAAACCAAGTCGTGTTCCAAGACGATGTAAGTGGAGTCACTCAGGATGGCAAGATAGTCAAGAGGAAACCAAGCTAAGTGAGAGTGAATGAATATCGAGTCACGATTTGCTGACCATGGGCTCCATGTAGGCACATATGCAAAGTCGAAGGACATTCTGGAGGCAAAGATGGCCGAATTGAATCTTGAGAAGCGCAAAATTTTGATCTTCCCACATTGTAACCCTTGAAATTATGGTCTCTTAGTCAACTTTCTCTTTCTTTTTTTCTTGGCTGCACCCGAACCTGACCGCATGCTGCTGTAACAAGAAGCAAAGCAACTCCAAGCCCCTTTTACACCGCGCAAAGTCGCGATCACACTCTTGTTCCCACCTAACACTAGGTCCATCGAATCTTTTCCCGTCGGAAGAACCGAGAAACCTCATGACGCGCAAGACAAACAGCGCAGTGTGTGGCAGACGATCATAGGGTTGGCGGTAGCACTGGTCTCGGATGTGGCCTTCGGGGTCGCGAAACGTGATCCTCGCCGCGAAAATGTGCTCGTCAATGGATTTCCAGTCCTCGGGCCGTTCCTCGAGGTGGGCCCGGTGCGAGCGCAGGTAGCGGTTGAGGTACTGGCGGAAGGCTTCCTGGATCGGGCTCGCGTGGATCAGCTCTCTGGTTTCCTCGCTGTCCGATAGCCTGAAGGCTTTTTGAATATCACTGACCGACGCTAGTGTTGGTACTCTTGTTCTCGACATGTTTTTGGCGTAATGTTTGATTTTTTACATGGCGTGGTGATGAATCCGTACATTTCATAGACTTTGAATGAATCAATAGCGCCAAAGATTAATCTCTATTTCTTCATGGAGCTCTGATGCCTCATGGTAAAGTCCTCAAGGCCTTGTTCTAGAATGGATGTCTTGCTTCAGGTTTGGCAGAAGACAAAGCGCGTCATACCTCAGTGTATTAACCATTGTCAATGGAAGCTATCTGACTGATACAACGTTTGACCTGATGCCATCTTACTGCCTCATGGGTAATTAATTGAAAATCAGGGACTGAGAAGTCCTAGTTCGATAAAAGTCTCATAGCTCCAATAGTCCGCTCTGGTGCCCTCTCCATCCACGGTATCGTTTCCGGTACATTTGGCAGTCCAATAGCTGCTTCCCTGTGTATAATTCCCAAAGGCAGCGAGACCAGCACTCAAAATTCGCGCCCGATCAGCAAAGGTGTTGTTGTAGAGAGTCTGAATGGCCCACTCCCCGGTGTACACTGGAAACTTGCCGGTACCCTGCGCCGCCACGGCATCGCTGTAGATGAACTCGGTAACGTTGTTTGGTCCTATAGGACGTCCGGCAAAGTAATAAGAGTGCACATCGAACACGATGTTCTTTCCCTCGGTAAAGTTGGCAGACCAGTAGTCGGGAGTCTGGAATGAGCCCTGTAGCATCGTGGGAAGCCGAGGGTCCACTGCTTCCACGCGCTCGATCACGGCGTCAAAGTACTTCAACAGCCAGGATGCTGCTTCCTCGCTGAGCGAAGAGGCTTGCCCGACAAGATCAGGGCTATCCATGGGATCGTTGATGGGCTCCAGTGTAAAGGACTGGGGATGATCGGAACTGACGATAAAGTCGAGCACAGCGTCTACGGTCTTGAGCGACCAGTCAAAGGCGGTCTGATTGTAGAACCAGTCTAGACCGCCAACTCGCTCGCCAATTGTTCCATTGTTGATTCCGCCTGGTAACCCATGGATATCGATAATGACGTGCATGCCATACTCTTCAATGGCATAGTTGGCAATTGTCGACAGATACGCCGTCTGATTGCCGTGGTACAGCTGTGAGCCCGGGAGTTCAATCCATGCCGAGTACGTCGTGGGTATACGAAGGACCTTTACATCTCCAGAAGACGCAAGAAGATCGATATCGGCCGTTGTGATCCAGGTTGCATATCGCTGCTCGAGAACCGGCCCGCATTGATCACCAAGGTTGGCGCAGCAGGTCCATTCGTCCACAACGTCGGTTCCGCAGTTGGCGGCCCAGAAGTCGGTGTCAATAAATGGCTCCTGAACTAACCAACCTCCGAGGTTTACTCCATTGCCTTTGAAAGTTTTCCAGTCCAAGTATTGCGGAGGCTTTGTGCAAGCTGCGTGGGTACCGGGGGCGAGTGATGCCAAGCCAAGCAATAATCTGAAATGCTTCATCTTTACACATACACACAATTATATAACTTCAAGTGAGCGTGTGTTGAAAGAAGTGAGTTAACTCAGGCAGAGAAGGTCTAAAAAGCAATATAAAGGCTCAGCATCTTCTCCCTATTCGTCTCCAAGTGCTCGGGGCCCCTCCGGCACCCCACATTTGGTCGCCGACGGAGACTAGAGTAAACACGGAGCAGATGGCACGAAGCTATAGTCATTCTGAGGATATGATCAGCAAAATGCTCGAGAGGGATTTTGCCAATTTGAATTTCAAAGTCCACTGCGATATTGTCAAAGTGATAGATTCAATAAGGCACAGGTGGAGAAATAGACTACTCGTCGCACGCCAAGAAAGGCCAAGTACATCTTGGGTCCTAGGTATCTGTGATTTATTGTCCCCAAAAATGTGCCGAACGTCTTTGGTAAGCTTAGGCACAAGATGACGCAGTTTGCGAAAAGCCATGAAGCTGCCATCAACAGTCCACGTCGGAATGGCCTTGCTTCCTCAATTTCTCGTCCTTGTCGATGGAAATTGGATTCTTGCGGCGACCAAGAAGAATAACACCTGGTTTAAATGGTGGCGCGCGGTCTATTTTGTCGGAGACATGAATTCTTGATATTGTTCAAAATTTTCTGTGGTAATGAGAATGGATTGAATATCAAATCTGGACTATCAGCCCAATCGCAGCCATTCGTCGATGATCTTCAGCTCTTGATGCTCCCGAGGCCTAGACTCGGGAACTCGTCGCTGCACACAAGATTTGCGAATGCGCTGAAATGCATTGTTCTTGCCGTTCCAATTCCCGGATCATTGGTGATTGGCAAATGCTCCAAGTGGCAAGGCATCCGGTATGAGACGGGAAAGGAAGCAGCGCATTTTGATACTTGAACCCCAAGGTATAAATGATCCAACGGCATGGCTTTTGGAATACTAGAGTGGCCAAACTCTATCGGCAGGCAGATGAAAGGGTGCCAGTGCTGATGGGTAAAGTGCTGCGAGCATGGAAGGCATTCCGACAAGCCAAGGCAGAATGAAAATTCAATATGCTGCAGGTGGTAGTAGCATATGCCATCCACAGAGTGTACAAAAGCGCAAGAATAGCTATTCAAGGTTGGTGGCGGATGAGATGAACTGCCATGCGAAATGAGTATTGCATGAAGCTATTCCCAACTCCGGTAATAGGACAAACTTTGGATACCGTGGAGGAGTGAACAAGTGGGCCCAGAGGCGTTCATCAATCAGATTGCGTCGATTCTCTTTACGCGGGCATTGCCAAGTGGCACAGTTGAGAAACTGTGGCGGTGCGGGCGTTGAGCCAGCTGCAGCCAATCAGCAGCCGCCCTTTATCAATCGGAGCTCCACTGCCCGAGGTGCCGAATTTCCAAATCATCATGACCTCAAAGCTAAGCTACCAACGAATTCGCCATCCACGACTTGTCGACATTTCGAGTGCCACCCCTCTCCGCTCTCCCCCGCAATCTGCCCAATTGCACCCATCTCACATCATGCAAGGGCTCGCACGATCGACGACGACCGCGATGTTGACGACACGCTCGCTCGTGCGCCAGCCCGTCGCGGCCAGCGCCATTGCCAGAATAGTCGCGCAGCGCATGTACGCCACACCCTCGGGCCCGCCGCCCGTCGGGTTCAGACAGAAGAGGCCCCGTGCCTGGGACGACGAGAAGGAGACGACTTTGGACCGCGCTGGACGTTACTTTCTCCTGACGGAAATGTTCAGGGGCATGTACGTTGCGATGGAGCAGTACTTCCGAGAACCGTACGTGGTATCACCGATTTGAAAGCATTGGATGCGCACTTGGCCGAACGATGGAATTCTGATGGTTGCTACAGATACACCATCTTCTACCCTTTCGAGAAGGGCCCCATTTCTCCCAGATTCCGTGGTGAACACGCCCTGAGACGATACCCCTCTGGCGAGGAGCGATGCATTGCTTGCAAGCTTTGCGAGGCTGTATGTTGCTGGACTCTTGACTACGAAGCATTTTGAGCACATGCTGACAATCCTTTAGATCTGCCCTGCCCAGGCCATTACCATTGAGGCCGAGGAGCGCCAAGACGGTTCCCGAAGAACCACCCGCTACGACATTGACATGACCAAGTGCATCTACTGCGGTTTCTGCCAGGAGTCGTGTCCCGTTGATGCCATTGTCGAGTCTCCCAACGCAGAGTACTCGACAGAGACGAGAGAGGAGTTGCTGTACAACAAGGAGAAGTTGCTGGCCAACGGCGACAAGTGGGAGCCTGAGCTGGCTGCCATCATCAAGGCCGACTCGCCTTACCGATAAATGGGGACGTTTGTTTTTGCCGAATGGCGCAGAATCAGGGTAGAATGTACATATCACGTAGAGCAAAGCAAAACCGTCTCATTTGTTGTCCCGTTACAGTCATCATTAACCTTCTTTTCAATGACTGCCATGGGATTGGGCGTTTTGTTTATGGGGATTTCTGATCATCACCCAAATTTGTGGGCCGGTGTCATGATCTCCCCGTCATGGGAATTTTTTGACGATGCTGGCGTGTACAACTTATGAAAGGAGGAATTCCAAGCATATCCAACAACAAAAGTCATGTTTAATCAAGCTTTGGACTCGTTGAAGCAGTTACGTGATGTGATATTTAGGTACCAGGTCAATACTCATGACAAGCTTGAATTCCAAGGTCTCTGATTGGCTGGTAGCACAGGTCCCAGCTCCAGCAAGTACGTAGCTCCAAGTCACGTGGGGACTTCCGGTAGCGAGCGAGGCCGCGCTAAGCTCCCCCGGAGCTCTTGGGACGAGAAATTTATGATGACTTCCATTTGTTGCTTTGGAAGCTGTTCCGAAATACCGAATTCCACCAACCGCTCCCCATCAACCACCAACGCTCCTCCAACTCCGCGTCGCCCATTCTCTTCAACATCTCAAATTTTCAATTGAGTCCAAGACGTCAACATGTTCCGCACAGCATTGGTCCGTTCCGCCGCCTCGGCGTCCCGCGTCGCCAGCGCCCCCGTCTTCAGAATGGCCGCTCCCGCCACGTCGAGAATCTCTGCCTTCAAGGCTGTGCGCATGTACTCTGCCGCCTCGGGCCTGAAGAAGGAGGAGATTGAGGGTCGCATCATTGGCATACTGCAGGGTTTCGACAAGGTCAACGACACGAGCAACGTACGTCAATACCTTTCCTCCCCCATGTCTCTGGGTCGTGTATGGCTGGGCTCGCGTAGGCGGTGATTGCGGAATCAGCCGCAAGGGACGCGAAGGATAATTTTGCAGAGTTCAACGACTGACGACATCATGTAACAGATCAAGGCCACTGCTCACTTCGCAAACGATCTCGGCCTGGACAGCTTGGACACCGTTGAGGTTGTTATGGCGATAGAGGAGGAGTTCAGCATCGAGATCCCCGATAAGGATGCCGATGCCATCCACAGCGGTAAGTTTTCTTGGGAAAGAGACGATTCATCTCGATAATGGCCTCTGTACTAACTACGACCCGCGTCAATAGTGGACAAGGCTGTCGAGTACATCCAGAGCCAACCTGACGCCAACTAAATTGCCTCCTCTCGAAACTGTATAATAAATCTTCGCCACTCTGCCCTCACCCCCCTTCACCGATAGAGCGCTGGGAAAATAAACGGGCGGTCCGAAAACGGTCAAAGCTTGTATCTGAGAGAACTACGATGCGATGAGGCCAACGGTCTTTCCGAAATGGCCTGGGGCGAAACCGACAATGCTTTTACCTCGATTACTAGATGGCAAAGCAGCAAGGTCATTATGGTGTGTGCAGTATTAGGGATGCTTTGCGCATCTATTGTACTCGTGTATAGAACATTTCTCTGATCAAATGTCCTTTTCATCTTGCTCTACGCTGTGTGCTGTGGTATATTTGCTTATGATGTCAGAATGCACATGGGCCACCCTCTGCCCAAATATCGACGCGGTACTGCCTACCGGAGTTCTTCTTCGAATGGATGCTATCACGCACGTTTCGGCATCTAAAGCTCACGGTGTTTACAGGTATCACATGGGATGTTCATTCATTATTTCTCAGAGGTTTCTCTCACTTGTGGCTCAATTGGCCGAATTTGTTACATAAACCAGAAGCTGTCTTGGCATGCGTAATGTACCTGCATCCGAAGACAATCCTGCGATCTATCATTGCCATCATATGTGCCGAAAACCGTCTGGATATGTGTATTATACCATTATCCTTATACGTGTCGAAAACCCGTCTCAGTCTGTACAATTTTCCAATATCACCAAGAGCTAATCAATCCTTGTTTCTCTTGAACCCGGGTTCATCAGAACCTTTCTGCCTTCTGTCGTGAGTCCTGTAGTCGGACTTCTTAGCGGCAACGTCTCAGCTCACGCTCAGCTCGGAGCTTTTCATCACGGAGAATCTTCTTCTCCGCCATTTCGCGGCGGTAACGTTCCGGATCCGTTCTTCGGAGCTCTTGGTTACGTCGGCGTCGTGCCGCCTTGATCTGGCGTGCAGGATTGGGTACGTCGCCGTACTTGTTCAGGTAGACCCTGACCGGCTCTGTAGTCGAGCTGGTCTTCTCGATGGGTTTGGGGCTATGCTCTGTAGTCGAGCATGCTTCCTCCGTAGGAGAGCTAGAGCGGTCGGTGTTTGAGCTTGTCTCCTCGCTAGTCGTGCGGAACTCGTCTGTGACTGAGCTGGGGGTGCTGATCTGCTCTATAGTCGAGCGAATCGAGTTGTGCGAAAAGCACATGTCACAATCCATGATTGTTGTTGAACATGTGCAAAAAGGATGAGAAGGGGGCTCGGTAAGTGTTCCCAGACAGACAGCGGGGTTGACAGAAAATGAAAACTGTCGTTTATGTTAGTCGAGGTACTCAATTTGTTGTTGACAGATTACAAATTGAAGAGAGGGGAATCGACTTCATCGAGGAAAATCAGAACAAACGGAAAATAGGTACTTGCCTGGTCTCTGCGCATCTTGCTCTCAATGGTCTGGGCTTCAAAACTGCGCAATGCCGCATCGGCCTTCTCGGCCTTGTCCTCGGCCATTCTTAAGAACATCTTAAATGCTTGCACATGTCTCCGCTTCATCTCGGCGGGCTTCCAAAGTTCGTCGAGCTCCTGCTCTGTGATTTCTGGCTGGTCTAATGCGGCGTTGTAGCAGTCGATGACTTTGTGATACTCCTCCTTCTCGACTTCAAGTTCTAGCTTTGCGGCGCGCAGCTTCTCTTGCTTGCTGCGTAATTTGCGGCGCAACTTGTAGTCTATCTGCTCGTGCTCGGTGGGGGAGTCGGTCCAGACTTCGTCTGTGTTGTATGTAGTGGCGACGGCGACCTGCGCCGGAGAAACAAGGAGAGAAGTCATGATAGATGGGAAGGTGGTGAAGATAGTGAAGGTAGTGTAGCTGGAAGGAAGGTGATGAATGAAAATGTTGCAATCACAGTTGTAAGTGCAGGTGGCAGGTTGATGATGGTTTGGAAAAGATTTTTACTTGGGGATCGAAAGATCAGGAGGGGATTGAATACTGCAAAGAAATTTGAGAACAATCCAAGCCGCGAATTTCGTCAGAACAATCAGGACTGCAAAAAGTTCTCACTGGACAATCCAAGACGGGACCATCGTCACCACAATCCACTCTCACGACAACCCAAGGGATTGTTCATTCGTAGCTGTTCATTCGTAGCTGTTCATTCGTAGCTGTTCATTTGTAACTGCTTAATCACAAAGAAATAATTCATGTCGATCCAAGTATTCCTAGCCTCTATTTATCATTAATAGTAGACGATTTCCCCGCGCGCATCAACACATCATGGATGCAATCGCCATTCACCATGACATGAGAATTCAATAATCATAATATGCTATCCTACATCGACAAACCGCCATCAACAATAGGCACGCACATTGCGCTTGGCTCGGCGCCGTTTACCTGTTGCATTTTTCTCGTCAGCCGTTTGAGTAGCATGGCAGTCGGCTTTTTGCTTTTAGCTCTTGGTTGAATTGTCCCAGAGCCGCCCTCATTGACAAGTCTGGATTAAAATCAAGTCCATGTTTGTCCAGCTAGATCGAAAAGCATTTTACAAGTAATTGCGCAGTATGTCAAACCAAAACGCCAATCAAAATTGAAAGAAGATAGGAGTTTCGAATATGGACAATTATCCAATAGAAATATTGCCTAATTTGACAGATGAAATATTTTCGCCTGATTGGCCTGTTTTGTATGAAATAAAACAATCTTTGCTAAACAGAGAAGAATGTGTATGACTTGCACCCGAATTCCTGAAAATAGTATGGGCTTTTGAAGTAGAATCGGCGATTTTGATGGCCGTTAACCATGTCTTGGAGCGTGTTTTCAATGTCTTCCCGGACAGTGTCCGGGTTGATAGTTTGGCGGCTTCGGCAACCGCGAGGCCAGCGTTGCCTCGCCATTAGATACTCCTGGAGCATGCCTGCGATCAGCCAGATCAGCCATGGGCAGATCGCCTTGACCTTTGGTGCCATTTATTGGGCGACGTCCGAATTGCAAATTTTGTGAATGGCAGGTTGGGGGTCCTGGCGACAGATGCCTGTGGCTGATATGGGTAGGTCGGACGACTATTGATAGTGGGTAGTGGTGTAGATTGTGATGACGGGTGGCACAGGCTGCGGAAGGTCTGATATTTTAGTTTTGGCCATATTTATTAAAAGAAGTAAAAGGCAAACGGAGTGTCTGATAAAACTGCGCAGTGGACCGTAATCTTTTTAGACATCATCTCACCACGTTTGCGTTCCTGCAGATTTATTCTGCCGCAGTACTGGTATTCCATCCCGCCACGTCGTGGTGAGAAAAGCAAACGTCGCAATCCATGATGGCAGTGGACCATGTGCAGTAGGGATGCAGAGGCGAAGGCGAAGGGAACTCAGTCCGTCGTCCCAGCTGGTCAGCGGGGTACGTGATGCGCGGCTTGCTGCTGAGTGGCAGAATAGTCATCCCGTACATTGGCAAACACCTCTTGGAGACTTTCCGAATTATCCTCAGACCTTTTCTCGCTTATCTGCTTCGCCTCTGTGGGCTGTGTGTTAGGGACGGTGATCCGCGCTTGGGACAGGCGGCACGGTCTGAACCTCCGTTGCAACTTAGATTCTTCCGAGCCAGCCTCCTATGGGGGTACCATATGATCCAACCTTGAACAGGTGAGTCGCAACGACACCTAGGAGCCAATTGAATGTCGTCAGCGGCAATATCATGCGTCGTGCTACGCCAGAAGTCTTGCGTCGCGAATGGGCTGCTTCTTAGCGATCTTGTGGGCGTACTACACGTGATCTGGACCTTGCAACTCATGATTGCGTCGACGTCTCGCTGCCTTGTTTTGGCGTACTGGGTTCTTATTGTCCACATATCCGTTGGACTGATTCGTAAATAACTTCATGATTAGAAGCGTAGAATTTCCAGTGTAGATTGCTGCCTCTGATTGGGCTCATCCGAGCAGATGGATTTCCCACCAAGTTATAGTTGGTAGACATTGAGGAAGCATGCTTGAATCGGGAGATGCGCATATAGGCCTGGTATTCGAACAGGTCTCAATCTCGAAGCTGATTAGAGCAGCATTCGCCTTCTTGGCCCTCTCCTCAGCTATTCGCAGAAACATCTTAAACGCCTGAACGTGTTTTCGTTTCATCTCACACGGCTTCCGCAGTTGCCCTGGTGTAGCGCGCATGAGACTGAAGGTCAGTGATCCATCCAATGCCGAGAGCTGGCCAGAAGGTGTATGCTGACTACACAAGGCGACTGTGTTAGTTTCACGCAAGAAAGGTGTAAATGAAAAGGACATGTGTACCTGCATGTTACCCATGCTGATCTCCTTTTCAGCAAATGCGGTTTACTTGCGCAATATTGTTGGCCTTGAGCTCTTCAAAGCACCAGCGTGTTGGACCTCTTCTAGGCCACGAGTGACAAGAAAACGCCTGGATTTTGTAACATCTACTGCACTGATATCCAAGCAAAAGTCTTGCTATCGATTCAAAGGTGCTTGCAGCAGTTTCAACTGTGGCCTGGGCTGGCCCAAGCATATATCTTGTATGTGTCTCTCAAACATGGTGATTTCGTTGAGCACATGGGAGGAGTCTCCCAGGAGTGCATCTGCATTTGCAATGTTCTCTGTCTTCGTCGAGACGAGTTTCTTGATCATCGTGACGCTCTTCTCATTCGAAGCTCATAGTATCCTGATCTTGACATGATCAGTGGCCAGATAGCCTAGTATAATCACCAATGTGATATCATAGAGAGGGAATGTCGGCAGCAATGTCGGGCCGCCGCGGTCTTTTGAGAATGACTAAATTGATGGTCTACTGGCCATACTGTCCTCAGAAGAGCTACATCCTAGCCAATGGGAGATGTTCAATGTACACCAAGAAGCTTGTGAAAGAGCCTGAGTTGATCCTATCGATTTGCAAAAAAAGAGGTGCAGAAAAGCTATCTAATATACCCGATCAGTTGATCTGTGGTGAGTCTCATCTACGTCAGTGTGACACAGAATATTGCATCTTGATTGCAACTGGTTTCAGGTTGATGCTCGTTTGAGCAGATGAAGTTTGTACTGTGACTCTTTCAAGGCCGTCACCTTCAATCATGTAGTGACTAGATCTGGTTTGGACTTTCAAAAGCGTATTCTCTGGATCGGTTCTCTTGAGTTCTTGATTGGTCCAGCATTAGGCCGCTTGTTGTGTACCTAATTTGTCCTCAAGGATTGGCGATCTCACACCATGTTCGTTCGGGCTATCTTGCCTATCAAAGAGAATCAAAAAGATCCTTGCACGCAAAAGTTGTTGAAGCAAGGAGATCGTCCAAGGGATAAAGATTCTAGCTTGGATGCCAAGTGTCAGCCTTAAAATAGTACAGATGAACCCATGTCATATCATGTGTGGATGCATAACGCGGCGCTAGCCCCGCGTGCACTGTGCAACTCGACTTATTTGCGGGTTATAAGACACTGCCATTTGTTGAGATGGGCCGGGATTATTTGCACCAATGCAGAAAGAGAATAGACCAAATCATTACCCGTGTTGTGCTCCAACTTTAATGGAAGTTGTTGGTGAGTTTACAACATTGATCCCTTCGCGAAAGTAAGAGCGTGGCATGGGTGGCAGATTGGCAAACAGACTAAGTCATGTGATGTTGTGTATTTAGTTCTGTCTCAGCTTCCACCCAGAATCCTTTTCGACTCTCACCACTGCTACACACAACACAAACAGTGCCACGCCATAGAAAGCAACTCTGAGCACATCATGGCCACGCAAACCCCGTCAGACCTCCCATCGTGGCAAAAGTCGGTGCCGACTATCCACAACATGGAGCACTCGCAATCAATGCGTGTAGTCTGGGCTTTGCAGGAGATACAGGACGCCAAGGGTCTCAAGTACCACATCAAGACCTATCCGCGCCAGCAACCCAAGAACTTTGACCTGCTCAAGGTGTCTCCGCTGGGCAAGTCGCCCATCCTCACCGTAGAAACCCTGGACGGGAAACCTCTGCCCAATGTGCAGATTCGCGACGGCATCCTCATGGAGTCGGGGCTCATCATACAGTGGATCGCCGACAATTGCGGAGGTCGTGAGCTCTGGGAGCCCGAGGACGACCAGGACAAGCGACGCAATGAATATTTTCGGCAGTTTGCCTATGGCTCCCTTGTCGAGCGCGTCGATCAAGCCATGCTCTTCGAGGTCATGGCATTCATGTCGCCATTCCCACTCAACCACATAATGGGGCTGATTCTCAGGCCCCTCGCCAACATGTTCAAGAGCTTTCTGATAATTTTTCTGGACTTGATGGAGAGCGAGCTCAGCGAGGAGCGGCCCTGGTTCGCGGGCAGGAAGTTGGGAGAAGCAGACTTTGCCATGGAGTTTCCCTTGTCCATGGCAATTACACGAGGCTATGTCGACAAGGAGAAATATCCCAAGATTCACAAGTGGTACGACATGGTCACGGCTAGACCTGCCTATCAAGAAGCTATCAAGAAGGGCGGGGGTCCAAAGAAATATGATCTGGTTAGATTCGGCATGTGACGGGCAAGTCTCTCAGCCGTATCAGCAAAGACAGCGGAGGCCTGAAGCTGGTGCTGATTAGTCCAAATTGTCAATTTCCAGACGGAGAACAAAACAGGACTAACGAGCTGAGCGAAAAGCATTTTCGTATGTGTCTGTTAGAGTGAATAAGGGACCAAGAATATTTCTTTTGAGGCCAGGTTGAGTGTTGGAGTTGGTGGCGTTCCTTTTTGTTCTTGGTGAAACCGTGCGTGAACAGTACAAGACGGCTGGATCGTAGGAAAAAGAACTCCTGCTTATAAATTTTCTCTTTTACTTCTCCTCGCCCCTAGATCCGGATTTAATCAAGGCGTTTGCCATCTCGTTCAGCTCGGAGACGTGCGTCTCGTATCGCCTTCTTATCTGCCATTTCTCTCTGGTATCTTTCCGGATCCTCCTTTCTCAGAAGTTGATTCTTGCGGCGCCGTGCCGCCTTCCTCTGCGTATGGGGGTTTGGTACGTCCCCGAATTTGTTCAGCTAATTGCATGTTTACTTTAGCATATGTGACTTGTAGATGTTCGATTCGAGATGCGACGTACTCCAGGGAGAGGCTCCTTGGTGTATGAATAGATTGCCTTGAACTCTGTCGTTCCAGTCATCTGCAAACTTTGCTTCTTGATTGGCGCTTGGTGCGCCTGACAGTCTAGGATGCTCGATTCGCAGGTGCAATCTTTAGAGAGGCTGACTGGGATGATAGAGACTTGTCTCGGCCGGGTGCGCTCATCAAACGGGTCTAGGTCTGGGATCTAGGTGGGTTTATAGGCATGGTTAGTTGAGATGTAATTGACAGCATCAAGTCAAAAGGCTGGCTTACAAGTACTCCGCTGGTAGCTGCTCCAGCGTCGACGTCGTGAAGCCACTGAGGGCTTTGGGGAGGCGTGAAGAGCATCGTGCAGACGGCGATGAATGTTGGCCGTGAATTGTTGAAGAAAAAAAATTTGCAATGATGAATGCAAACGGCGAGCTTGGTTTGTTGAATGATAACAAAAGGAGCGGGTGTGTGACTTTTGCCGTGGCTGAAATTTGGCTCTAGCTTGTGAAGAAATGTCAAGCGTGGGGTCAAAACAAGAACGACACTGGAGTACTCACGAATGCCTGGCATCGCTCTCATGCCATGCACCGGATTAACCGCCGGGAATTAGTACCAAACATATTGGCCCGTTGGGTTGACAGCAACGGGCTCAATTGCAGGGCTAGAACAAGTCTTATTCCAGCATTATATTGTACTGCTCGTCCACTCGGGATGAGCATGCTTCTCTTCCGGTCTTTCTTGGCGTATATTCAAACATTAATTTTTGCTGGCAGTGATCAGCTTCATTTGCCATTTATTGAATATGTAGTAGTTTGGACGGCTCCACTGGCTTCTTCCTTACTGACAGATGATCCCTTCTCTGTAGGCTGGATTCTCACTGGTTGCCTTGGGTCGGTACAAGATTATGTGAGAGCCGCCTTCTTCACCGATCGGAGTTTTGCATTTCTGATTATCCTCTTTCCCATCATTTCCCGAGTGTATCGCTGCGGGTCAGCATTTCTCAACACTTGATTGGCACGTCTTCGTGCGGCCTTCCTTTGGCACTCGATATTTGGGATGTCGCCATATCTATTCAACTAAGTATTTCATTAGCAGATACAATATCAAGAATTCCAATACGAATATTGTGAACAGAATCTTACGCTTGGCAGTGGCCAATTGCGAAGTACGTTCCAACATGGTCGCCGACTTTGTTTGCAACTAGGCTTTCGATACTGGCTGGCTCTTGGTGATGCCCCTGGCAGTCCATAGTGTTGGTCGGGCAGGAGCAATGTCTAGAACCCTTGGACAGGTCATAGAGGCCATCATCGATGGGATTTGCATTGGGCAACTTGCCTTTGTCAAAGGGCGGAACATCGGGAATCTAGTTGTACCGTACATGTCAGCCCAGCTGTGACAGACGAGCGATGCAGAGGTTACGAACCAGCAGCATTGGTATGCGATCGCCGAGGGCTTGGGGGAGGTGTGAAGACTCTTTATGTGTCAGTATCAGGGCAAACACCAGTCCTTTGGAATTGGGGCTAAACTCATGATTTCGTGCCTGTCTAATATTACAGTCAGTAGAGTCACAATGAGAATAACACAAACAGGATATCAAGATACTCACTGGTCATTTTTCCCAGTAGCAGTCAGATTGGAAAGATGATTCAGTCGGACGGAGGTGAATACATGTGCAGTTCGCGTTTGCTCAATCATTTGTGATTGATACTGGATTGGGAGGAAAGTTGAATCGCAAACATTCACTTACACCATGATTCAATTGGTGCACCTCACTGGCCATAGAGAAGCTCGATATTGTCAGTCGACATCTGGTCTGCTTTCTTCATTCGCCACGGAGGTTTTCCAAAAAGCCTGCAACCACCGGATAGAAAGCGAAGTCCTCTATGAAAGTGTCAATCTTTTCGAGACTCTCGATAATCTTGAATCAGGATCTTGTCTTAGATCCTTGACTTAGTACTTTCTTTTATTCTGGCTCAGGTCAGGCGGCATTTAGGGCAGCCATCTCGGCCCTGCCCAATTATGCATCTCGCATGCACTTTCGCTCGACCATTTCTTGTTAGTGTCTCTCCCTGATTCCAACAGCGTCGAACCGCCTTGGCTCGCATTTCTGGGGTAGCCGTGGTGAATACCCAGAGGTAAGTTTAATTGCAAGAAAAGGCAAGAGTTAATGAACAACCACGAATTTCCTTACAATCGCTTCAAGGATGCATTGGCTCATTATAAGTAAGCTAAATGGTGCTCTAGTCAATGGGTCCTCGCCCAGCGCGACCAATCTGCCGGACGCAGGAAGAATTATTGAAGAGCCTGGCAGCATGCAAATGGAATTTTGGCGGAAGAAGCATTTATAAGTTTATTCTGATGAAAAAAAAAAAAAACTACGTGATGTTTTCTCATACGAGTTGTGGGCGTCGCCGATCTACACCGGAGTTATCGGAGGAGGCTTGTGGCCTAAAAGCCCGCGAGAACCGAGTTACCCGAAACTCCGGCATAGGGATCCGAAATTCCGACCGTCGGTACTTGCCATCACACCACTCATGTTGCTTTGATTGAGCCCAAGTAATTCAAGTTCTTCTAAACTACTGTTCAAACCTGATATAGCGGAATTTAGCCCTCGTGCCTGGTTCCACACTTTGGCCCGACCTTTTCTCACACGGCAGTATACTAAGGCAGTGTCGACATGCATCCCTGGCAAATAGAAAGGAGGAGGTACCAAAACGCTGCTGCACAGCGCAGGCGACGTGAGTCACACGATTCACTGATGTATCGCTCATTTGTTCTGTCCAATGCTAATCGTGCTGTTAGGTCGAAAACAGATGGTGAAAGCCACGGGGAGAGGGCACTCGCCTATCCGGGTGATTGAAGCATCGTCTAGTCAATCACAAAAGATCATTTCTGCGATATCTAGTTGTTTCAGTTCTGACGTGGAGCGAGTGAGGGTTGCAAACGTCATGGCTGCCGAAAACTTCAGCCTGCGCGAAATCATCAAGTACGGCCTCATATCACTCGGTTATGTGGCAGATCCCGGGGCTTTCCGCATCGCACAAGACCTCCCTTTTCATTCTTGGAGCATACTAGTGCTACCTCCACTTCTCAGTCTTACAGATATTGAGGAAATTGCTCGAGCGGGTGTCGAGACCTTACTTGGCCTTGCTGGTCCTGAGAGCTGGACTGGACAACTATCACCAATAGCATTAGCTGCAAGCAAGGTATGCTTATCTTCGATGGTTCCTCCGGTTATTGGGGATCCAATATATACTATCAGGACTGGATTTCTCACAGCAAGTCATGCAAATTGCCGCATACTAGGCTTTGATCCTCAGGTCATCTTGCAACACCACGCAAAGTCACCTTTTGTGAACACAGCACATGCAATGTCTTGTGGAACCTTCAATACAGGCATCAGTGGGGCCACTGAGATGCAACAATATAGATCACAAAAAGTGATCAACGACATGCATCCAACTCTGGAACAACTCACTATTCCTCATCATCCCTACTTGGATTTGATTCCTTGGCCCTCTTTCAGATCCAGAGCAATAATTGCATCATCCATGAACCCGCCCCTCATCGACAAGAATGAATTGTGCTTGGATCTTTTGAGTGACGGATTATGTTGTCACGGCATTCCTGGTGTATCCCTTCACGGTCGAGGTGAGGGTACCCCCTGGGACTCGCGTAGTTGGGAAGCGAGACCTTGGTTTCTGCAAAAATGGTCTTACCTAACAGGAGGCTCTGACGTCCAGCAGACAAGTTTATGGTGGCGGTTACGATCCTGATACTATTGGTCATGTCAATAATAGAATAGAGGTATAGATGGTTTAGACCATTTGTAGAACAATATTCTTTTACAAATCTGGCAAGACGCGCAAGATTCTTACCAAACTAAGTAGCTTGAAGAGTGAAAATCGAAAGCCCGATCAAGATATTTCCAAGCTCTGTCCAGTTATTACCTATAGGCGGCTTGAAGTGCCTGAACCAGTCCAACACTTAGTCTATTGCCGTTGAATTCATGTCTATGTCTCTTACGAGACTCTTGTTCGAACATACACCTCTCGGCGCAAGGTAATTTCAGCCTTTGAATCTCGTAGATTGGTTCGTGAATATGAATTGTAAGTCTCGTGTTTAAATTACCAATACAAGAGGCTATTCATTGAGCTTTCGCAGGTAGAAGTAGTACGTTCCGGCTTCCTTCGGCACCAGCTTGTTGTCCATGGCACCAATAACTATAGTGTCAGAAATATAGCGGAAACTGTCAATGATGGGAAAATTATCGTATATCATAGCAGCTGAAGTCACGCCACGAAAAGTGACTGCGCGTAACTAGAAACAATTAGCTTACAACAGTGATGGCGTAAAAAGGAACTTACTTGAGCATTTCCGTAGTCTTTGCACCAGACTCTCGCTCCGACCTCATTGTATAGGACAATCGGGTCCACGTCGTTGATGGTGCGAAACGTCTTTCCAGCCCACTTGTTGGTCTGAAGCAGTTCGTGAGTGGGATGACCAGTGTTGAAGCTCCCGCCCTCCCATTGCCCAAGCATAAAGTCAAGCTGAACAGGTTTTGCTTGGTCGAAAACGGCTGCGACATCAGCCTCCTCGATACGGCCATCCACTTGGACCAGCTTCGAAAATTCCGACTCGATACTGCAGCACGTATAACTATGATTAGCAGTCGAATCAATAAGGACTCAAAATTGAGCAAGACAAGCTCACCTAGACATGTTGACAGATGTAGAAATGAGACAAATTGGTCGTACATCTTAGACTGCAGAATCTGGTTTTCCTGACATTATATTCTTCACGAATCAATCGAGATCTTCCAGGAATCCGGTCGGACTCGGGCAGTTCTCATCATCCGTTACAACAGTTGATCCTATTGTTCTATTGCATTTTCACGGACACTGTCATTCTCAGGTGATTGGCTCCACACACCCGTCAGCATTAGAGTTTGGACTAAGCCTTAACACCATTGTGGATATAACTCCACTCCCGGTCAGCATTAAAGTTTGAACCAAAATAACCCATGTTTGTTCGGCGTGAACTCCCGGCATGTGGGGAATGTTGAGGGACACTTCGCAAATTCATGAGACGGGCATTGCTAGACTTCTCTATACCCACTGGCGGACTCGGCAATATTGCTGGGCCAGAATTTGTTGCTAAACTTAAATGCTGACGTCCAAATTTTCATTCTGTCCGTTACCGTCTTTTGGAACGTTGTATATCAGATAGGTCAACATAGGGTCCCGTGATAGAAACATCGGATTTATCTTTCTTTGGCGACTCTTCTGAGATATTGCTCCCTTATTTTTCTGTTCCAATAATCTCGCAGGATACTCAAAAGTATTTTATCGAACTCGAATCGCTTTTGTACTAAACTTTTCCTCCTTCAAGATGGATTCCAAGCCAGACACAGCTGCTCGTGCCATAGTGTCTCGTGGGCCACTTTCAGAAGGACAATGGGCTATTGAACCAGTGACTCTGAAGCCATTGAAAGAAAATGAACTGAAGATTCAGGTGTTATCTGTTGGTGTTTGTCATACAGACTTGACTGTCGGGAACACACCTAGGGAATACGGAGCATACCCGGGAGTATTAGGCCATGAAGGTAAGTCAGTCATATTTCAGTACTCCAGGTCAGATCAGTCCTGACATCTTTGCTTGTAGGTTGTGGGATTGTTCTCGACGTCGGACCAAAAGTGAAAGTCGCCAAGGTTGGTGACCGAGTTCTACTCTCGTTCCGTTTCTGCAAGGATTGCTTCTTTTGCAAGAACGGTCATCCATCTTACTGTTCCATGTTTACTCCATTAAACATGGGCTTTGGTGACTATCCCAGAGAGTTTGCTACTGGTACAGATGGGGCTTCAGTGAAGGGCTTCTTTTTCGGCCAGTCAAGCTTTTCTGAAGTCACGATCGTATCTGAAACGTCTGTCATAAACATGTCCGGGTATGTTGATACAGATGAGGAGCTGAAGCTGCTGGCGCCCCTAGGGTGCGGTATGCAAACAGGCGCCGGGGCTGTCATGCAGCTTCAGAGTCTGGATGAGGATGACTCCATTGCAATCTTTGGCCTCGGCGCTGTAGGTTTCTCAGCTGTTGCGGTATGTTGTACAGCAAATCTTCCTGAACTGCACAAGCTAACCAAGCAACCAAGGCTGCAAAACACAGAGGTGTCAAAACCATCATCGTTATTGATCTAGTTCAGAGTCGACTTGATTTGGCAAAATCCTTTGGAGCAACACATGCTTTAAATCCTTCTTTGCTCAAGGACAAGTTGACGTCCACCGTGAAAGGAATCACAGGGGGCTTAGGGACTTCTGTAACGATCGACGCAACTGGAAATGTGAACGTCATCAAGCAGGCAATAAATATCACGAGGAACCAAGGCGAGATATGCATGCTGGGTGTTCCACCGCCAGGAACCATCCTTGATATCGATATCACATCTTTTCTTGGCGTATGTACCCTTCGTCCATATCACGCGACTGACATTAATCTTGTTTGTAGTCAGGAAAGAAGTTGTTTGGATCCGTGGAGGGAGGTGTCGTTCCATCTGAGGTATAACTTATACACACATCTTTCCTAGCCTTTTGCGCTTCGGTCTTTTCCTTTTCTCTCCCCTCTGTTGCATTAGAGATAAAGTATTGACCTACTAAATAGTTCATCCCGAAACTAGTACAATGGTACCGCTCAGGCGAATTCCCAATAGAGAAACTCACAAAATTCTATCGGGTTAGTGAATTTCTGTTACGTCATAACCGTTTGGTCTGGGCTGACAAGTCTTGATATAGGCTGCAGACTTTGCTCAAGCTATTGCGGATATGAAATCTGGCGATGTCATCAAACCTATTATATGCTGGGAATCCTGATAATAAGTGTTGAAGCCATATCCAGGTTCACATGGCCGGTGAAAGAGATATATCAGCCAACTGAGCCAAAATGCTCCCCTGGATATGCTGCGGCAGATGTCTCAGTGACCATGGTTCACCCTCAGATATGGTAAGCGATATGTGACGTATCTTAACCGATGAAGCTCGGCTTTAGCATGGCATACATTTTGTTTTCAGACTCGTAATAGGAATCATCCTTAACAATGCGCTTTTCGACCTTTGGATCTTAGTGTTTCAAGATGGTCATTGATATGTTGTCACGGAGAATGTGATTCACGATAAGAGCTGTATAACAACGCTATTTTAATGATGTCGATGATCAAAACAAGATAAGAACCCTACATCGCATAGTGACCGAAGATGTCAAAGGTAGTAGTCACTGTTTCTAGTAATTGAAGCTATGAGTGAATCAATGCGGGTTAGCTATTTATTGACATCTACCTAATAATGAAAACGCCAAATATTCAGCTAATCCCCCGCAATTTCTTGAGCGCCCCGACTTTCTTGTCCCACTCATTCACACAATCTTGGTTGAACAAGCACTTATCCACCTCACCATACACTGGATGTGAATATCGGGAATACCGTGCGGTCCAATTTGATGCCCCGTAGTGATGCTTCACAAGGGCAGATGACATCTCGTGGGTGTCCCCCGATCCTGAATGCCCCTGAGCTGCTGCAAATGCTTGGACTGGCAGCACCAGAATGCCATCCACGAGTACTGGCTTGTGTAGATCATGGAAGTCATCCCATGTGACAGGTCGTGACCCAGTCCTCCTATCATTCATATGCTGTATGATTACATCCGTAAAGAGCCCCGGACCAGAGCAGCTAATAATTTGTTGAAAATTTGGACGTAACTCTGACACTGGCACATTTTGCTGCTCAGCGAGATTGCGCAGTCTGGATATTGTCGAATCCACGAGCCTCATCATAACTGGCAGTCGCGGCTTGCATAAGAAAGTCCATTGACAAAAATTGCATGCTATGTGCCCTAGTAATGGATGGTTCTTGAAATCCGGCTCATCAATCTCAACGCCTATAACCATGTCGATATCTGCCTCGTTGAATGGCTGGGGTATGAAATCATTTATCGGTTTCAGAGCAGATGTATCAATATCGGTGTACAGCCCACCTTCGACGTACATGATGAGGTATCGTAACAAATCTGCTCTGGCAATCTTGATCTGGATGCTTTTGAAAAATTCCACGACATCAGGTCTGTGAGCCCCGAAATGGTACTCAACGTATCCCAGCTCGTTGGCGTCAGTCACAAATTCCCATCTCCATTCTGGATTTTGTTCCGTCCACGTTCTGACTCTTTCCATGTCTCTCTGCTTGAATGACGCCGGACTGCTCGTCCATAACTGCCATATTTTGCGTGGAAATAACTCGTCAGATCTGGCAACAGTAGTTGTAGTGCCGCTCGGATGTAAGAGAGGGCGCAGGTTGACACTGAAACAAGTCATTACTAGGGCGATGATAATAAACCATAACCGGAGCCCGCGAATTGGTCGTCCCCAAGATGAGCATCGGGGTCGCGGCAACATGCTGTTAAAGGAACTGGCGCTGATTGAACAATAGATCTCGAAGCGCAAAATAATCGTTGGTGGCTGTGAATCAAAAGCCCCCCAAAGCACTGCTTTAGCATTCGGGAACAGGCCTTCAAATATATTACGTACTTGGTAGACATCGCTTGGAGCACGGACAGAAGACGACATGCCACTTCGCCTCGGTATGAACAGATCTTTTCTCGGCAGTTAGCATTGCGCCTTTTTCTTCTTCTTTTTTCTTTTGGCGCCAAGTCGCAGGGGTGGCCGCCCCCTGACGCCTGGCGTTGCAATATGTTCCTAGCATCCCGAAAACACAGTACTCTGTTCACAGTACCACTAACGTTCAGAACGGCACACCATCTTAGCATGCTTTTGTTAGGACCATGCTTTTGATCATCACGCCCATGACAGAAAGCGTAACCCTGTCAATGGAGAATGGAGATTGTCAGCAGTGGGACAACCGCTGCTCTTACCGAAATCAAAAGAAAGTCTGCCATACTGTACAATGATTATTTTCATCTTGGAATCCTGCCGTATTGGTCATCCAAGCCGGGGTCAATCATTCTTATCAATTTGACGTGGCATTCTCACCTGAGCTAATATGAAGGGAAAGATAAGATGGAAGGAAGATTAGAAGAATGTGCAAGTTGATCCTACCGATCTACAAAACAGAGGTGCTAGAGAGCTATCTAAGATACTCACTCACTCGAGCAGGTGATCAGCGGTCGGACTCGGCTACGTCAGTGCAAAAAAATGTTATACGAATTGATTTCAAGTTTCTAATGTAACATTTTTCAAGCTTTGCTTTTATGTTCGCTTTGAATCTCGATACTTTGCGGTGACATTTCATCCTCAGTCATTCCATCTATCGTGTTGGCTTTCCTAGACGCTCGCCGGGCCATGAAAGCAACCAAGAGGACACATAATGCAAAGGCAACTCCGTTACAAATCATAGCAATACTACCCATATACCAATCGGGAGCTTGCGTTGTATTATAAAAGACCAAGGTCCACCAAATGTAAAATGCAATAGCTATAACATGGCTTTGTTAATAAAGGTTACAGAGCCAAAACGCGTGCATAGGGACAGGACTTACTCATTGCATTCATCATGGCAATGACAATTGCTCTTTTAGCGTCATCCATCCTCATAATCTCATTCGCCCAGGCGAACAAAACACCTCGATACCCGAGCTGCATCCCGTTGAGAAACAGAGCGAAGAACTTGGCTGCATAGCTCGGCGGCTGCAGCATGATAGCGCCGGATGTAATGGACGTGATGGCCAAGAAAACACCGACTTGGGCCCGCCCTCCTTTGCACTTGAAATAATCGGCATACCAGCTGCAGCACAGAATAGATACGATGCCAAGGCCGTATATGGCAGTTGGAATGTAGTTGATCTGCTGCACGGTATACGTACCCAGGGCCTTGAGCCACAAGTTCATAATGGCGTTGTCGACATACATTTCCGAGTCACCAGCCAAGAGAGCCAAGAGTGGGAGGAGGTAGAATTCCCAGCTGAACACCAGCCGTTTGACAACACCCCAATTGAGCTCTCCTCGTTGCACATCAGGCTCCGGGAGGCGCTCGATGGCCAGTTGTTTCTCTGCATCGGAGAAAAGTCTAGAAGATGTCGTTTGCGGATGGCCAGGGAAAACAAAGTAACCCAAAGCGGCCACGGGGAGTGTAATGAGAAAATCGATGATGAAAAGCCATCGCCACCCTGCGAGGCCGCGCACGCCGTCTGTAATAAAACACAATTGTCAGCAATCTTCTCTTTCGAGTATTGGCAGTCATCCCGTCCGCCAAGAAAAGGAAAAAAAAAAAAAAAAAAAGACAAATATGAGATCGTACTAAGATTAGTATAAATAGCAGCTTGCAAGATGCCAGAGAACATATTGCCAGCCACTCCGGAAGCTGCAAAAATGGCGGTGCGCTTTCCCAACTCCTGGGAGTTGTACCAACTGCCGAGTACGTAATGGGTGCCGACAAAAGTGGCAGACTCGAAGATGCCCTCACAGAAACGAATGGCCATGACTTGCTGCCAGGTCGTGACAAAGGCTGTTCCCAGAGTGAAGAGGCCCCAAATGATTATGGCGCAAGTAAAGTACAAATGGGGCTGGATCTTTTGCAGGGCAATGTTGTTGGGGATCTGCCCCAAGGTATAGCCAACGTAAAAGACGGAATTGATCTGATTGAGCTCGGTGCCCTGCATGTTGAGGTCTTCCTTCAAGCCTGAGACGTAGGCATTGCTGAGGTTTGATCGATCAAGATAATTGACCCAGTACATCAGACACACAAAAGTGAGAATGGCACAGTCCAGCTTGACAACCAGCTTCCGCTCAGCTTTAGTTGTCGCTGGTTGCCCCCAGACGACCTCGCGGACTTTTGCAAGTAGTCCAGTCATTGCCGGGTTTTGTCGAGTGGTGAGAAAATATCGTGCTGGGCCCTCGGTTGTTGTAGCCGGGATATGGCCAAGTATGAAAGGCAATAGAGTGTTGGGGGAAAACGGCACAATATCAGTGCCAATCCAGAGATCTTGAATAATGAAATAGTTTCAAGATTCGACAGTGGGCTACTGCGGATTTTCCTTAGATCGATTCCACAAGTATCATCATTCGATATGAATGGCTAGGGATGCCTATATTGGATTAATACGATTGGATAAGAAAGGGCACACTGATAAGCAGCAATCGGATAGCGGCGGTCAGGGACCAACTCGGCCACCAAGCAAAAATGGCGCGAATTCGTGTCAGTTACTGCTTGACGATAAAGGCAGGTACCGATTGATTCAAAGGCAAAAGACACGACTTGTTCTCTTACTCATACATAGGCCACTTGATTTACTTGCTGTGGTGTCAAATTCACTAACCCCCCAATATCTTGGTAGCGACCGATTTATCTCCAGGACGAGACACGATTGTGGCGCCGGGCCTAGCAGACAACGTCTTGCGCCGACGGCCAAGCAGGGGTTCGCCGACGTAGATACGTCCTTAGACCCCCGACCTGCCCTTGGGTGATAGTCGTCTCGCTTGTGGCCGATTACTGACAAAGTCAATTTGAAAAACCGTACAAACTCAATGGATTACTAGGGAGAGATACAGTATTGGAGCTATCCAGAGCTGGAATGATGCGATCAGAACTATGGAAAGACAAGATCGTCACCGGATTTGAGGACATAGAGACTGGCATGACCCCGCATCAGTACTTGAATATTCAAGTACAGCGCGATGCGGGGCAGGCTTTAGGCGCCCGCCATGCTACAGGAGTGGAATGGTTAGGGGGTTGAGGGAAGTCTTTTTGCCCTTCAGGAAGCGCTAAAAGCCCTCAGTGGAAAGCCTGTTCTTTTTGAACGAAGAATTAGTTCTTTTCAATCAAAAGTTCTTCTTGCCCTTTCAAAGATCACTGAAGGCGCCGCTATACGAAATAATATTATCGACTGCATTGTCGTGATCTTTGTAAATTCATAAATGCCCAGTGATGTAGTCGTAAGCCCTTTATTTGATTTTGTACTTAAATATGTTGTGGTCAAGTCTTCTTGTGTTAGGAAAAAAGAAAACAAAAGTAATCAAGTTTTCTTTTTGTGTTTTGTCGATTTAGTGGATGGCTTTAGTGGATGGTTATAATGGCTTTGAGTGCACGTTACAATGGGGGTCCAAGCAGAATCTTGGTTTGAGAAGAACTCCTCTTGAGAAAACTTTTAATATGGGGAAGACCTAGGTTAGGAAATCAAAAGGCTTTATTGTTTGCAGAAGCCTCCCAAGCCTCTTGAAAGCCCCATTGGTGATACACACGTTGGATGATACAAGGTCGGTAGTCAGAATCGTAGCAGCTGGAAGTTGAGATTTCCTCCCTCCTCTAACATCATCTAAAACTTTTCCCTGCCGCCATACACCGAACATTTGAAAGGAGCAAACAGTTGGTATGGAGAGATGATTCCTATCTTCCATGTGAGAGTGTAGACTCATTGGAAGAAATTTCACATGCCTGGAACTAAAACACCATCGATCCTCGTCATTCCACGCGGCAGAGTCGGGTCGCATTTATCGACTGCCGTTGTGTGTTGGTGGTGTGCACGCTGCATACGGCGGTTGTAATGCTCATAGGCAGTGATGCCATGCTCATAGCCCTCACTGAGTGGTCTATCCTTGGAAATGAACTGCGGTAAAGGCGAGACGAGCTCGTCATTGTTCAGGCCAAAGAAGAAAGGCAAGGACCATCGTGGGCGCCCAGTAATGTTGCGAACCCGATGCACCGTACTGACAAATGCATTATTGGTCAGCCGTGACATCATGTCTCCTAGGTTCACCACAAATGTGTGCGGCTCAAGTTTGGGACGAATCCATTCGCCAGAGGCATTCAGCACTTCAAGCGACTGAATGTCAAAGGGGTCCTGGGCAATCATGGTCAAAACTATGGCAGTTAGCAGCGCCCGGGCGACCAGAAAAGACGACCGCCTCCTGTGCGATCTTCGCTACTTACATTGTACATCTGTATGGGCTCCTAAACCGGTTGACTCTGAATCATCGGCGGCCTGCGGTGGGTAATAGAGACCGCGTATACCAGCCACTGGATACGTGAACTTGTTCTCAAAATATCCCTCCGGAGTGCCCATGACCTGCCCCATGAGTCTGACCAATTTTCTCATCAGTGCAAGGCAGGCAGCCCGGTACGCGCGCATGGCAGGCTGGAAACGAGGCGCATCGCCGTCTTCGGGCCATTGATTCTTGCGGTAGAGAACTTCCGGCTGGTAACCTGCGCCCTCGGGATCCAGCTCTGGTTCATACCCTGTCGTCATTGACTCTTTCAGATCTGCAGGTGCTCAGGTTAGAACTTGATGCTGCATCAGTGGCATTGGTTCTTCGTACCTCCTTTCTTGAGCCTGTCCACATTCGTGTAATACGGCTCCTCATAGCCCATGAAAGATGGACTTTTTGATTGGTGCACCTTCATCTTGTTTTCCAGTGGCAGGTCAAAAAACTGCTTCAGACCAGCGAATGCTTCTTCCACGATGGTCCAATCAATGCCATGGTTTTTGATCACGAAGAACCCGACGTTGGTACAAGCTTCGCGGAGGGATACAGCCAACTCGGCCTTGTCAGCCTCTGAAGCCGACTCGGAGATCAGTGCAGTCAGGTCTACTACGGGGATCGCCTTGAAGTTGCCGCCAGTCCCACTGTCCAGGGCCCTAGTCATTCCCTGCGACAGGACGAGTTTGCCATTGAAAACGCCGGCGATGCCTTCGGCCTCGATCTTTGCGGTGGTTGTGGTGGTTGTAGTGGGCTGAGCCATGATGCAAATTCCAATGGAAACTGTTCGTTATAGGTTGGGGGAAAAAAAATGCCGAATGGATGGCGTGGTGTAAGTCCTATCACATACCTACCTTCGCTGAGATACTGCAGCAATGAACCGTATCAGCTGGTGGATCACGATATATGTACTAGGTTAGGTAGTTACCTGCCTTAGGTGTATCATTGCCCTATAAGCCGGGTGGAGTGCCCCGAGTGTGTAGCCCTTGTAGCTGCCTACAAGGTAATCGCGATAGCCTAGGTCGCTTAGCTGCAGACACTGGCCCTGCTGCATCACGCACCGTTGGCGCTTCAAGCCTAAGTGTTTGCCGTCGGCCAAGGGCATGCGGGGCATCATGTTGGGGGTCGAATCGCAACCACACCTGCCCGCCGACGGCATCTCTTCCTATACCAAAGTTCCTATCGGCCGAAATGACGAGGTGGGCCTTGGTGGGCAATCAGATCTAGCTCTATCCTTCTTGTTGGCGGCGGGAGTGTGGCGTGGTGTAGCGTGCACGCACGACAATGGGCTCACAGCCATATCCACTCGGCGTGTTGGTGCAGACGGCCAATACACACGCCTTTTCACCGTTTGAATTGGCAAACGTGTGTGCATTTGGCCAAGATGCGACATGATAAAGATTACTGCAACCAAAAAGCCCCAAAGGATGTAATACGTCTAGCGGGCAATAGATTTTATGTCGTGACCTGATCATCTTGAACATCCTCTACCCATCAAAACATATTACCCGCGCCTAACAATGAGCACGTTGAGTCTTCAGCAGGGCCTCACTCGAAATGTCTCGGGCGGCGGCATTGCTGGCAATTTCACCGAGATTCCAATCATTGACCTTGCCCCTTTGACATGCCCCGATTCATCCGCAAAAGACAATGAACGACTTGTGTCCGAGATTCGAGGTGCCTGCAAGACAGCTGGGTTCTTCATCATTAAAAATCATGGCATCGATTGGAGAATAATTGAGAATGCATTTGACGGGCTTGAAGAGTTCTTTGCCTTGCCCCATGAGGAGAAGATGAAGATCCACCAAGATCAATCACCATCATACATGGGCTACGAACAGATGTTTTACACAAACGTCGATGGCTTGAAGCGAGGAGGTTTGTATCTATTGTTCTCAGGTTGAACCTTTTTCCAGACGACTGACGGCTCATCAACTCAGACAAAAAAGAGGCTGTAAGTGTGGCCTATAACCCGGAGATCGATCCCGAGGGAGTTGCAAAAGCCGCCATTCCAGAACCTCTGCGACGCGAGAATTGTTGGCCGGACCGAAGCGTGTGTCCTAAGTTCCAGCAGAGTATCGAGGCCTATCAAATGGCTTGCCTCAGCTTGATGAGAAAGCTGATTCGTGTCATGGCCACCGCACTGGGATTGGATGAGAGCTTCTTTGATAAAAAAACGACGTATCCCATTGCCAGTGTACGTTGCCTTTACTACCCGCCCCAAGAGCCCGAGGAAGAAAACGAGACCGGGTTGGGGGCACACACCGACATCCAAAGTTAGTATTGCTCAAATTTTGTCAGGCTGGATGTATGATTTAAAGACACTAGAACTAACCTGAAATCTTTAGTGATGACATTGATCGCTCAGAGGCCGTATGATCAGCCAGCCTTGGAAGTTCTCAACGCTGCCGGTGATTGGGTTCGACCTCAAATCACCGAGCCAGAGTGCTTCGTAGTGAATCTGAGCGACATGATGGCCCGATTGACCAATGACGTATTCCAGAGCACCATACACCGGGTTCGGAACAATAACAACAAGGCCAAACAACGATATTCTCTCCCCTTCTTCTTTGGCTTGAATCAGGACGAACTCACCACCACTCTTCCCCAATTTGTCACAAAGGAAAATCCCCTCAAGCCAACTTACGAAAGGGGAATGACGGGCTACGAGCACTACAACAATCGCCTGCGGAAGGCCCATACCAAGCACCCAAGTGCAAAGAATGATGTTGTGAATTTGCCTCATTCTATGATAAAGGTCGATGGTGTTTTAATCGGAAGTTGAAGCTTGTTTTCGAAGGCGACCAACTAGCAATGATGGGTAGGGCGTCAAGTCGAGAAATAGATTAGCCTATTTTTGTGCAATGTAATTATGATAATGACAAAATAGAAATATGATGCTTTGATTAGATTCCGTAAACAACTTTTATCACCAGTTATCACCGGGGAATAAAGTTTATAGGCATGGAGAAGCTTTGAGGGTGCACACCAGCAAGTACTCCACCGATCACCTGTAGCCCATTATCAACTTTTCGGACTGTATCTAAACCCAGAAAATTACTTTGCAGGTAGTAGATCTTTACCGGAGAAGGACTCATTCAACATTGGAACTTTGAACTGGTCGTTTGATGCTGCGGTAGTTCTATCTATTCCATCGTTGGCTGCCAAAACGATCGCTCGTCCTTCAACATGCCCCTGGCCTGTCTGCCTGTCTTTCCAACCAAAATTTGGCCTAAGCCACGTTTCAGGTACTGCCCGTACCCTTTGTCTCCTATTATGCCACCTTGATCATTGTACACTAGAGTGCCTCGAATAAGGGTATATCTTGGCCAGTTGCGCACCCTAATCCCTTCAAATGGCGTATAATCAACACCATGGTGCAGTCTACCTTGGGTTATGAGCCGGGCACCTTTGTCGCCCGGGTACCATATTACCAGGTCTGCATCAAATCCTGGCGCTATGTTTCCCTTTCGTTGCTCGAGACCGTACATCTTTGCAGCATTACTCGACGTCATCTGCACAAACTGAGGCAAAGACAACCTTGCTTCAGAAATGGGCAGACAGCCTTCGCAGTCGCTAAATAGAAGAGGTAGGCGGGTCTCTACGCCGGGTATACCATTCGGTATTTTTGTGAAATTTGGGATTTTGCCATTGACCAACCCCAACTTCTTCCCACCAGGATGATCGAAAGTAGACGGAGCGTGATCCGAGGAGATCACTGTAAAGGCATTGCTCGCGACAGCTCGCCAAAGCCCCTCGAGATCGGCTGGATCGTGGCGGAGAGGGGGTGAGCACACAGCCTTGGCACCAGAAAAGTCATCAGTGTCGCCATGGTGGTGGCCAGAGCCGTTGCATTGTCCTTTTAGCTCCTGCGACAAGAGGTACAGATAATGAGGACATGTCTCGGCGTGAATGGGAAGTAGGCGAGCCTGCGCAGCCCTGACATGCTCTACGGCAATATCTGAAGAGACGTGGACCAACAAAATCGGAGCATCCACAAGCTCAGCTAGAGCAATTGCTCGATAAGTTGCCTCGTCCTCGGCAATCTTTGGCCGAGCGACGGAATGAAACCAGGTCCCCATATTCCCTCGCTTCTCTAACCCTTCTATGACGATGGCTATCATGTCTGAATTCTCCGCATGCACCATGGTCGTCATGCCAAGTGCCCTGCACCTCATCAGGACGTAGAGTATATGCCTGTCGGACAATTTCAAAGGCTCGTAGGTCATGTAGATTTTGACACTGGTGATGCCGTGGGCATCAGCCAATGCAGGCAACTCATTCTCCAAAATCTGGTCTGTGGGGTTTGACAGAATCACATGAAAGCCATAGTCGCAATAACTGTTACCGCCTGCCTTTTCATGGTATGCTGTGATTGCTGGCAAGAGAGATTCTTCGTGCTTCTTCTGGGAGGCAAAGGCAATAACAGTGGTGGTGCCGCCGGCGACAGCACTTCTGGTGCCCGTTTCCCACGTATCACCTGTCGGTGCGTTGTCTTGCTGAATGTGCACATGAGAATCCACCCCACCCGGGGTTACATAGGCACCTTCTGCATCGATGATGATAGTGCTGGCAGTTCGAGGCAAACAACTACCAATGCAGTGGATTTTTCCATCCTTGATGCCAATTTCCTGTCCAGGAACAAGCACCTCACTTGCCGTTGCCTAGAGGTTAAAATGCATTGTCAGCTGTGAGCTTGTAGAATGTATTATTGAGACGGTCAACTCACGATGATGCCGTTGACAATTGTTGATCAAGGTGGTGCTTTCCTATTGGAGTTTAAACTGGTCTGATATTGGTGTCAATTGTGTGATGTATTGATCTATGTTCTGCGCCTTTTAGTTTTGATAAGGTGTACGCTTATTTGGGTGGCCCCGGCTAATCCCCGGGAGGTCCCGTATATTTATCTAGACTTTATAGTGTTAATCCGTATGCTTAAGCACACCTTAGTATATAGGAATTATAACCTATTATTTAATATACCCCCTTAAATCCACGATTTATCGTAAATCTGGCTATATTTAAATTAAAATTGCTAATTAGCAAGATTTAGCTTTTTATAAGGCTATTCGTTTTAATTACGATAAATAATATTAAATCCTATTTATTGCAAAAAATTCTGTTATTTGCCTATTAGCAAGTTTTTCGTTAATTTATTTATTATTATTTTATTTAAAGGTTTATAAATAATTTTAATCCTTTTTTTTTAGGCTTTTTATCGTAATTAATAATTGTAAATATTTATATAACGGAGTTTTATTTTTAATAACGCGATTTCGGCGTTAATTAAATTAATAATTTGCTTATTATTATATTTAATAATAATAATATTATTATTTAGTTATATCGATAATTTTTTTTAATAATCGGCTAATAAATAATGTTTTTTTAGCAATTTATGCTAAGGTAAATAATTTAGCTTTTATAATAAAAATAATAATTATATTTTATTTATTTAATTGCTAATTAATTAATTTTTTAAATAGCTTTATAATAAATATTTAGGTATTTTTACGATTAATATTATTATTAATAAATAATATATTATTAATAATTATTAAATTAGAAAATCCTCCGATTTTAAGCGAAAGTTTTTTAGTATTAATTAGGTAAATTAAAGCTCGATTAGCAGCTTTTTAATATATTTAATTTAAATTATTAAGGAATCGAGCTAATTTAATTATTATAAATATAATATTTAGTTTTATAAATATAGCCGCGAATAGCAGTAATCCGATTTTTTTTTAATATTTTTATATTTCGTAAAAAAACGCTATAATTAATCGAAATATAAGTTTTTCGCAATTTATTAGCGTTATATAAATTTTTTTTTTATTTATAAGCTTAGCGATTTTTTTAAAATAAGCCTTTTAAAATAGCTAAATTATTTTAAATATACGATTTTTAATTATTTTTATTTTAAAAAATTATTATATTAGCTCGCTATTATTAATTTTATATTTTTTTATAAAATGCTATATTAAATAATTAATAGCCTTTTTATTTTTATTTTTATATACGATAATTACGTCGTTAACGTAAAAGAAAATTAGCATTTTTTTATTAATAAATACGCAAAGCTTATATAATATTTAGGTATAGCCGATTTCGGCTAAAATTTTTATAAATTTTTTTTGCTATAATAGCGGTAATATCCGTAATTTATAAAATGCTTTATTTAATATTAATATAATGTTTTTTTTTCGATATTTATCCGGTATTTTTATAAATATATTTTAATTAATAAAAGCGTATATAAACGCGTTTATTACGTTATATTATATTAATTTAAAGTCG